TTCCACAAATTACGAGAAGAAATTAATTAAGAGAAATCATTTGTGAACTGTTATGGTTGCGTCTTCGATTTTAGAGACCCTAAGCGTGCATTCTATCTTTTGTTTAAGTATAGTTTACATGTATAAAGAATGTTTCAATTTCGTTCGCGTTAGTAATAGTGCCAGTGGTGAGTGCACAAATTCGCGCAAACTATAGTGAATATTAGATTCAGATTTATTTGCGAACGTAACTGATAGCATTATTTTTGAATTATGTGCTCGTGGAGTGCAAATTAGTAGCCTGAAAAAGTAAAATTAATGATTCTCCTTATATAGTTATAGAGCGTTTAGTTCCACCGATCTGCCACAACGCGGCGCTAATGTTTTTTAAAACCCCGTAAAACAGAGAAATTTTCATTTGCGAAAAAACCTAATTTATCGAATTGAATTGTGATTGGATTACCCTAATTAGACCTTTAGCTTCCTTTCCATACTCCATTCTATCCGTAAAATGCAGAAATGAGTATTTTTATAAATAATTAGTACCACTTAGTTATCGCTAAATGGCGCTACCATGCCCACTTTGTGACAATTCGCACTAATTACGAAAAAAAACCTAATTAAGAGGAATTATTTGTGAACTTTTTTATATGCCTCCTTAAAATTAGGTTTTCCACTTTCTTTTTATGTGTGTTTTGTCCTAGAAGCACGTGTGTATAAAAAGTTGAATTTTTTTTTCAATAGATCGAAGGTTGTCCTTCTCGCACACTGTTGCTTTCCTTGTCTAGCTTCATTAGACAAGGAGAGCAGCAGTGTGCGACAAGGACAGACATATACGCGCGATAGACAAGGAAAACGACAGTGTGCGACAAGGACAGATTTATGCGCGCGGTAGACAAGGAGGCAACATGCGACAAAGACAATAATATAAATCAGTTCCTATCCTAGGTGTGATGCAGACAATGCATGCTTAATCAATGTTATGATTCAAATGGATTGTTTTATTTCATTTACTATAATATAATGTACGTTACATTCTAGGTTTTTTTACATTCATGGACAATAGTATTATGATTCACATTGCTTGTTTTCTTATTGTTTCATTTATTGTAATACAACATATGTTATATTCCAGGTTTTTTCATTTATGAACAAATAAGTAATAATAGAATTATGACAGTATAATAAAACTGTGACAAATTATAATTCAAATCGTTTTCTTTTGCTTGTTATTGTTTTTTATTTCAATACAAAAGTATCAACTTTTATTTGAAAAATTTTAATATTATAACGAATTACGCAAAATTAATTAAAAAATATTATATATATCCTTATTTCTGAAACAATTAAAGTTACTTAAATTTGTAACAATAAATTATATTTATATAGGCTTTATCTTGAAATGTAGTCCGATGAGGGAGAATACCAAGCACTTCAAGTCTTGTACAAGGTAATAGAAACATCTCAGCCCTTCTGGGTCTCGTGACTGATTTACGTCCAATAAAGAACCAGTCTTTGATGTTGTAAAAGAGATATGTTCATCGCCAATTACAATCTCTAATTCTTGACGTCCAACGCGGTCTGGTTGTGGCCACAAAGAATCATCTTCTTGCATAATTTCGGAATCTTGAATGATCCTCTTCAGCTCCTCCATTACACACTGATGTACATATGCCTCTTTCCGAATCATCGTGTCATTCTTATAATTTGAATTATTCGCGTATCGCAATTTACCATCTGGCCTGAATTCAAATTCCAGAAATTCGTGACCGAATTTTCCCTTATGCCCTACATAATATCGTATATAAAAATCCGTCGACATCCTGCAGCAATGATCTTTCAATGTTGAATCTAAAATGAGAAATTCATTTTGCTTATAGTCGAAAACCGTATATCGGTTAGAGGTTATTTCACGTACCTTAAGATTCTCTTCCTTATACTACAATTAATTGATATTATTCGTTTCTATTATGGAGATGTAGAATCGGCGTAGCTTTGCGACGATTTTAATTAATAAATTTATAGCAAATATGCTATACGTTGAAGCAAATTACTTGTTCAGTAGTACAAACACAAAGCGCTAACCAAGCAAAGACGCGCTAAACATCGTCCATAATGGAACCTTAAGGCGGTTTATATATAACTATGTTACGCATAAAACGAGATGATCCTATTTTCATATCCATTATAACTTACATTTAAATTTAATTATTATTCTATCGACAATTAAATGATACATTATATTTGTCAGTTCTTAAATTCATTCTGGACTCCTTAGTTTAACAATAAATTTATCAGGTTGAAATTCGACAGAAACTTGAAAGGCCTACAGATGCTATCGACTAAATCAGCGAAATATTAATAAATCATATATTACTTTTGCGAAAAATATTTCAAAATATGCTATTATATGTCTCTATGTTCAACAGATATAATATTCAAAATTAAGATCGTTGCGTGCATCGCCAGTGTGAATCATCTTAAGTCGAAATCATCGAAATTTGAATAAACCCATCGCACTTGTCGCGGATCTATCTTCGCAGCAGGACGTCGTCCAGTGGTCATCCGGTGACATCTGAACTGTTAACTCGTTTGCCACGCAATTCTCCCTGTTCTCTCTTGAACTGATAGCTTCGATCCTATCGGATAATTGAGAAGTCACGCTGCTCTTCGCACATCTTTCGCGATGAGAACGATCCGCGAAAGATGTAACGCAAGTGACACGCGGAAATATCTCGAGTAAATCGTGTGAATCAAGTGAAATGTTTACAGCGTCAACTTTGATGTATGTACCAGGGTAGTAAGCTGAAGGATGAAATTATATTGCTCGACGAGTTCACGTAATTTAGGCTCGTCATAGCGAAAGCCCGGACGATCAGTTTATCAATAATGAACAAAAATCACATGGATAAAAGACTGAATCAATTGCCAACTTGGTTGTGGACCAGTTCCACCACATTACCACCAATCTACAAGATGGTATGGGAAGCAGTGAGAGAAGACAAAGTCAGGACAAATGGAATGCAGACAGAGCTGCTGGTTGACACTAACAAGGTCTTTCCTTTATTGCTCACTAGCCAGTTGCCTACGGAGGTTCTCGGACACATATGGAACTTGGCTAATCAAAAGTATGCGGGTCAACTCACTGAACAAGAGCTGTACATTGTTCTTGCTCTTGTTGCTGCTGCACAAGCTTCTTACACGTTCAATAGCTTGGACATATTACATTTACTTCCATTTCCACCCACACCGTACTTAAATATTGACTGCTTAATGAACCTACAGCCTGTAACTCAGTTAAATTCAGCAGCTAAGTTTCAAAATCTTCAAGAGAACACAGAAATTGGATTTATCGGATCTGATGGAAGGTATCCCTTGGAAACTGGAAAGGGAAGGCTGAAATTACATCAGCAAGGGATCATATCTTCAGACTTAAACGCGCAAATGATAAATAATGTACCTGGAAAAATTACATGTTTTGATAATAAGTCTTATGCCTCTTCTACTGGAATATGGGATACCAATAACGAGCTGAAAGATATAAATCAAACTTCCGATCCACAATTAGATTCTAAACATCCACCAGCAGATTTGTGTGATGATTTTTCTGAGTTTCAAAGCGCTCCAATTTCCAACATTCCCAATATTCCAAATTGGGATATAAAACAGGGTTCGGCTATTGGAAGCAGACTTGCAAATCATAATCTAGGTGTTAAAAAACCAATGGAGAAATCTAAGAAGAATAATATAAATGCTAAATCTGCTCATGGCACTACTCAAACTCATATTACTTCTATACCATTAACTATAACTCAGAGTAAAGATCAGTCAACGCTAGATTGTTTGTCAGAATTATTTCCTAAGTGTACAATAAAAAATCAATCTAAAACAGTAATTCTTAAGGATACAGTGATAAGAAATAATGATCCGCCCAAGGACCATAGTGAGAATGTGAAAGATTATACAAATACAGAAATTGTAAATGTAACTAATGACAAAGATGTGTTGAATAAATTAGAGTGGATGGATAAGGTAATTTAATTCTTTTAAATTATATAATTATATAATCATATTATAAGTAGTGGCTAGACAAATTTTTTAAAATGTTTATATACATTTATTAATATTAAATTTATAATTAGGCTTCATCAGCAACATTGGAACAGGATCTTATGAATCTCCAACTTGTTGAAGATAAATATAGTGCCTTGCGTGCATTGGTTCAAGAAACAGCTGTGTCAATTGAACCAGATGTAAATGCAAGTTACAGCAATCAATCAACTGACGAATTTGGAGAGTTTGTGTCTGCAGAGCAACCTGCTATTAATACTCCTGCCACAAATGCTTTAGATACCGATAGTTTTGCTGATATTTTTACAGATTTTGAGTTTAAATCTAATAATAATAATGCAAACACAGGAGATTTTAACCTCATGCCAGATATTTCTGAATCATTTGACAATCTTAAGCTTGAAGATAATGTAGAAGAACGTTCCTTAGAAATAGGTAATCAATGTTGCATATTATCTCTACTCTACTTCAAATTTTTTCTTAAATATATTAGCAGCAGTATCATAATATTTTATTTTAAGGGAAAGCTCTTCAGAAGGAAGATGCCATATCAATTAATAGTATAGAATTCATGAATGGTGCATCAAATGCATTAACTCGATCAGGATCTGTGCCTAGTTTAGATCTTAAGTCTTTCTTACCTTCCACTACAGAAGATGAGCAAATAATGGATACTACACATCAGGTTATTATAATTTTTCTTCTTTTTATTACGTATAATTCAATAAAAAATACATAGAGAATATTAAAAAGAATTTATAATTTACTTGGCTTTACAGTCAGAATATTGGGAATGGAAGCAATACATGGAGAGCTGTGTATTATTATTACAAGTAGCTGCAAATATATTTACAAATATTAATTCAGAACTTGTATTGCACGAAGTTTTAAATTCAGCACAAGGATACAATTTTCTATGCAGTGAGTAATGTTGCAAAAATTAACGAATTACTTTCTTGTAATGTTTCAAAATACATAACAGTCATTATCATCTATTTGCTTTTTAAATCAGACTTAGCGGAAGTCGCAGCTGTTTGCAGACGGGTTAATTTTTCGTACAAAGAAATGGATATCAATATAATAGGTTTTGATGAATTATTAATGGATATTGATCGAATTTGGGCAGAGATGGAACCGTTTTATGCAAACATACCAGTAAGAAATATTGACATTTTATAATATTATTATTAAATGTTATACATTATTTACACTCTTCAGTTTACAAACGTATATAAATTTCTTTATAATACATTTCAGATCGTTACAGAATTACCAGCTTGGCCTTTACATCAAGGTGAAGCTATTTGTTGTTCGCTTTGTTTAACAGTTATTACTAGTGGCAGAGCAATGTATAATGAAAATAATTATCACGTTACTTGTGCTAATTTATGGCTTAATTGTGTAAACAGTAACTTGCCTGTGATGCGACATCCAATTTATTCTCATTCTAATATATGTACAGGTAACAATCACATTTGATATTAATCTACATTAGAAAGAAAAAAAATTAAAAAATTCGTAAATTTTTAATGTACACACATTAGAAAGAGAAGAACAAAAAATTCATAAATTTTTAATGTACACATATTAACTTATTACACGAGAATTTGTAGAAAATCAGAGCAAATTAACTTTATATTTAACTATAATAATTAGAAAATCAAACATTAACATTTTTAAAAACTTATCAAATAATATGAATATGATTTAAAAAAAGATATGTGGACTATATCTATGATAAGAGAAAATGGATTCCACACACAAGTTGTATATATTCCTCAAATTTAAATATATTCAAGATCTTACTAACTAGTCCGTTTAAAAATCTGTACAGATATTGAAAGATTTAGAGGGAATATTAATATATCATAATCTTTTGGAATTAGGAGAAACAAGTAAAAAAAAATCGTGTGAGCAAATTTTACAAAAACCTTAACTATAAACCTTAACTATAATTAACCTTAACTAAAAAAAAGGTTGACAGAAAAAAAATTCTTGGAACCTGAACAAAAGTTCATATCAATCAAATTAATTATAATATTTTCCTGAAGATCTTATAAAATTCTTAGCGCAAATATGAAATAAATAATTAAGAATATTATTCTATTAATACGTTAACGCCGGCACTGCAATTCATGTTTCTCGCCATCGGGCGGCTAAATCCTACTTTATTTTAATGAACACATTCTTTAAATTCTTCCAACTCTAATTTTCAATTATATGGCAATTTATTTTATTTACTAAACGAATTTAACAAACTACATATTTTGTGGTACACACCGGCGTCAACGTGTTAAACAATATTGTAATGACAATGTAGTAATGATCTCCCAAGTCTTGAAATTATCGTTGACTTGTATCACGCGGTCTATACACTATTCCTCTGCTTTTCATCTCTCTTATAACACCTGCTGGTAAACGTCCTGATACTGATATTGCGTACACACCCTTGCAAAATCGATCTGAAAGAAGAAAAAATATCGAATCTCAGTTATTTTATAATGGATATTTATAATTAACAAGAGATTTTATCCGTTTACTTCGTTTTTAAGTTAAACAAAAAATTATAAAGATGACATGTAAAAAATTAATGCAAAATATACATCAAATTAAAATAGAATTTTATGTACGCACATAAGCATGTTCCTTAAAAATTATACATACTATAATATTATTAGTAAAAATACTGTATAAATGTATGATAATATTTAATATTAAGAATCTCAGATACAAAAAAACTTATTAAATTGCAATATATAGATATATATATTGTACTGTTTTATATTAGTTGCATCTTTTGTATTGAAATATTGGCTTAAAAAACTTGTACAAAGCCCTGCCTTTCAATACATTTACATATATGATATAAAATATGATTTAGATTATTGTTATTTGCACTGCCAAAAACAATTATTGAAAAGAGAAAAAAAAGAAAGTTAATACATTAAAAATTCAAAAGAATATTAATAACACTTAAGATGTCAAAATAATGTAGAGTAAAGAATGACAGTTTATATTATAATATGATTTACGAGATAATGTAACTGTTATAATTTTGTAAAAGTGTACAAGAATAAAATAACGATATTTGTCTTGCTTAATCTTAACTTGTGCATAGATACATTTTATTACTTACTTATTCTTTGCCATTTGCAAACCCAACTGTCCTCAGGGCTCATTGCAGCAATCATGCTAGAAAAAGAATAATATCAATTTTAGTAATTTGATATCATAACTTGATAATGAAATAATTATATTAGAATACATAAAGAAAAATGTTACATTTTTATTTAAATGACTTACCCATCGAAATTGGAGCTTGTACAATCAAAAACATTATCTTTATTATTTTTCATACGTAAAAACTCGTCGCAATTGTCGCAACCATCGAATTCAAATTGATCAAATGTCTGTAATAAAGTTGAATTTTGTAATAATATAAAAATACATAATTTTAAAATAATGTAAAAATAGTGATAAGAAATACAAGAAAGCATACCTTAATTAAGGAACAAACTAAACATGCCCTTAATCCACGTAAATCTTTAGGTACAGTTTCCATTGACATCTCTTATATTCTTTTTCTATAATTTTTGTTCAATTCAACAAAGTATATTTGTTGAATGACGATAATGTTAATATAATGTAAATAAATATGTGATCTTCTACGAGCACTGAACACTTTACTACTACAGTATGTATATATATGTAGTAGTAATAATTTGCGGCTCACAATCACTTATTGTTAGAGGTACACTTTAGTCACTGATAATGAGTCAAAATATGGCAAAAACAAAAGGTTACTTTTACAAGTATAACCTTAAATAAAACCAAGGAATGAACGAATAACGTCACCGAACTACAACTCGACTAACAGCACAGCACCGTACTCCTTACTACGACTTTCTTTACACAGCCAACTTCAGACATGTTAAAGATGGCCGTCATTGGACAAAATGAGAAGCTACATGAATTATTAATTTAAGCTATGATAATTAATATCTCTAAAATGAAAATAAATTAAAATGAATTTTATGTTTATGAATTTAAATTTTTTGATATATTTTTCTATTCTTTTGCGTCAAAATTTTGATCTTAACAAAGTCAATACTGAAAATTAAATCAAGTTTTCCGTGTTCTTTTAGAAAACAATTAAGTGTACAAAGTAATTTTTTGGTTATGTTATCTATTTATTTATTTTTGTTTCATCTTTGATTTATAGTTTGTATTTTGACTGTAGAATAGTGTCAGCTTAACGATAATGCCTTTACGTAAGACAATTGACTTGAAGTTAGTCAGTTGTCACTTCTGGCGAGAGCGTTATTCGGTTGTGCGCTTCGAAAAAATTCCAGACTAAATTTTAATAAATACTATTCAGTCTATTTAATTATTTGCGATCATAAATATATTTAATATTCATAATAAAACTTGATGTATATATTACTTATAATTTCCTTAAAGAAATATTTGTCTTCTGTCAACTGTCATAGAAACTATCCTTTATCCTATTGTCATTGCGTTGCAAAAGTAACATTTTAAAGACCAATAAATATTACACTGAACGCGGGAAAAATACTACATTCCGTATTGGAGCATTTTGTGCGCGCAAGGTGAAGGTGACTTCTATCTGATTTGTATATAAAGAAATACTTGTCTAAAAACGTTATAATCCGAAATCATACGATTTTGGACACGTATTTAATTGTGGTGTTTGTTCTAAATTATTAACTGACTCACATTTCTAACGGCTGCTATCATGAAACCTGGAGGTGGCACAAAGCTTTCTGCCGCCAAAACTGGTGCTGTTGAGGTTAGTAGTGTTAACGAATTTTTTAATGATCTTTGCTAAATGAATTATCAATTATACTTCAATTTCATCATGTTGATTTGATTCATAACAATATGAATATTTTAATATGCTAAGCTATCATTCCATTCATTTACGTTTTCCGTTTCTTATTCATTTACAAAGTTTGACTATTAATTAACCGTCGTTTTAAATTTTGAGTTAATATCTCAAGTCGCAATTAATACTTCATTTATTTAATTCTAGCGGATAATCAATTGAAATAATTAAAAACAAGTGGGATGAAGATAAATAAATTGTACTGATAATTTATTTCATTTCACATATTTTTCTTTCATTCATAGTATCTTCTCTTATTATTTTCATTTTGGATTTACTTATCTAGTTTATTCTTCACTTTATATTTTTGATTTGGCACATGATTTAAGCAACTGATTAAGCATAATTGCATGTAGAGGCTTCGTCATATGTCATATGTTTTTTCATCAAAACAGGATAAGGTCAGAAAGTCTTTGCACGTTTTGCAGCCAGCAGCCACTGACAAAGAAAATTTAGTTGGTGGAGGCAGAATGCTGAGGTCTGCCAAAGAAACAGTTAAGAAGTAAGTTTTACAACTACACATTTCATACTTCATACTATTGTTTTATACTTTAATTGAATTTTATTTTTTAGTGAGGTAGTTGAAAAACCCAAGAATGATGAGAAAGCAAAACGTAAGAAAGTTGTTTTGAAAGATAAAGCAGTTCAAACTTCAAGGGGAGGCAAGATAAAGATCGAAGTTGAAGACTTAACGTCCGAAGGTACGCTTTTGTTAAAAATGCGAACTACAATCTTATATATGTGATTATTAATTTTGGAAATATTTGTTTTGTACTTACAACAGCTGGGCCCAGTGAAAATTATTGGGAAGTTTTGGCTGAAAGGCGGCGGATAGCACTTCAGGATGCATTAGAAGATAATAAAGAATTGACCGAGCGCGTAGAAAAGTTAGAAGAAGAAAATCGTATATATAAGGAAATGTTAGATGAATCAAGAACACTAGTTGAAGTTTTACAGGTATTTACAAGTAATCTTCTATTTTTTGAGAATTTTTGAAAATTTTAAGCGTATTTAATCTAATGTTGTTTTGCAGGAAATGCTTGGAGAAGACAGGAATGATATAAATAATTCTCTTGAAGATACCCTTTAATTTAACGTTTTGTGATCCAACATCAACTAATGCCTTACGATTCAAATACAGTGTTTTTGGACACAACATATGCGCTCGTCAATAATGAATATCGTACTGAATATTGTAAAAAAAAGTTTGACTGAAGGTTTGATAAGCACAAAATGGAAGAGTTTCTTTATATTTTTAATCCATTTCAATGCGGTTACTTGCATTTATATTAATTCGTCATTTATTAAACCAGCTAAACTATGGCTGCGACTACAGATGTATTTACCTCATAGAAACTTAATATAATATAAGTATATATCTGATTATAATTAATAAATCGATTTTCTAATATCCGTTGAATTTTTCTTTCTGTTACTTTCTGTCGTTAGCAAGAAATAACGATATTAATCGAACAAATTGCTAGCATCACATATTTATTTTACAAATCTTTGGCGTAAAAGATCTTGAATTCCATCGATATAAATCAATGCTAATAACACATTAGTTTACTTTTTTTTTTTAGTAAAATGACTGACGAGTGTTTTATTCACACATCAATCACAGCACTACATGTTCGAGGAAGCCATTTTCTTTGCTACATCGTTTTCTAGTGAAAATAATTATATATATCCACTGAAAGGCTGCCAGGAAAGTCGTGCGTTAAAATGTTGCTAAACGCGTTGCTGAATGCCAGATGTGCAAAAGCGAACTTTTTCTATTTCTTCATTGTTCTCTGCCCGAGGATTTCGCCCCGAGATTGTTGTTTTTTTTTCACATCCTTTTCTCATCTCGTGCTGTTTCCTTGATGACCTATTCGAACAACAGACCGACTTGCGATCCGCAAATCGTATGAGGCGGTTAAACATCGGGTTTTGTACTGCGGAACGCCGTTAAGAAGCGTTGAAACCAGTTCTTAATCCTCGTCTTTGAAACGGCGATAGATGGACTGTACGTAAGTGAAGACGCACTTCCAATCTGGTCGGCGCATCATCACCATATCCTCGACATCAAGTAACGGTGCAATTCCGGCGAGTTCACTGCAAATTACCATTTGCTCTTCAACATTTTATAATGTCTAAAGGATTTGTCAGGGAGATTATGAAGGTTAAAGTTTAAAGATATATCAAAGTACATTTAAAGGATTTGCCAGGAAGATTATTATAAAGATTGAAGTTCAAGATATAGCAAAGTAAAGTAAAATGCCATTTATTTGCAAGAAATTTTATAAAAGTTATATAGTATATCAAATATCTATTTATTTGAAAATTATTTCTAGGAGGACAAAGCTACATAAAACTACAATAATTTATGTGAAAGTCATACAAAAGAGAAGAACCAGAAAAGTGACTGCGGGATGATGCAATTAAAAGCAATTTGGAAAATAATAATGAAAGCTTACTCGGCTTTTTTAAACGCCAACTCAAAGTTCATTCTGCGATTCTCCGGCCGTAGCGAATAATAATCGAAAGCGTCCGGTCTAAAGTGATGAAGCAAAGCGCAGAACGCCAGACCGTTGTTCCAGCTTGTCGAAAAATTATCCAGTTGCACGTTCTGCAACAGAAAACGCAGCCAATGCAACAATCAATGACTAATTTTGCAAACAGCGTAATTTTCGGCTGGCTATTGACGCGCAATTACCAGCGCTCGCGCGCCTTCTGTAAATAACATGCTACACGCTCGCGTGTTACGGTTCCATTTACAAGGCGGATTTACCTCGTACTCTTTGGTCTTGGAACGGCACCATGCCAGTAGCCGCTCTTTTATTTGTACCGCGTTGTCCCGCACCGCTGGCTCGGTAAACTTGAATCGAAACTCTGTTGCCGGTGACTTTACGGGACTAAATATAGGAGGAAGAGCCATCAGTTAAGCTTTCGAAGAAATGGAAATATAAGATGCATTATAAATATAAGATGGATCGAGTCGATTAGACGATGTTGCATTTGAACGATCGCTTTCAACTTCAATTTTATTCAATGGCAGTAGACTCCGGATTTTTCACTAGGAGAGTATATATTACGAGTTATAAATAATGTTTGATACTAAACGTCAATATTATTACAAGGAAGAGAACTTTGATATATTTTTACATTGCAATCCAAAGATTAGAAAGATTTTCTTCGGTATTGAGTAGGAAAAAGCAATCGTCTAATAATATCGATTCTCTCACCGATGGTAAAAGCAAAAATACCAATTAACACAAATAAACAAGGCTCGTAAACGGTTTTCAATTACCTGGGTGACGAGGCGGCGCTATTTTGTCTGTCGAGTTCACGAAACTTGGCAAACGGTGACAGCGGCTTCTTGCGAGCTGAAAAACCAATAGAACGGTCTAAACTAAGTTTATATTACCATCAATTATACATATACATATACATATATATATATATATATATATATATATATATATATATATAACAATCATAAAACGTCAGGATTCCTTGAAATGCATTCGGTCATCTCACCGTATGTTAATTTGTCTATCATCTATCTAATTAAAAGAAAAAAATTATATGTCAATGAAAATCGCTGCGTATGTGAGAATTATTATTAGGATCTGGCAAAATTCAAAAAGAGAAAAAGAAACCAATTTAAAAATTAAATTATTAAGAAAATAAAAACGGTGAAAACTTTCGTTTCTCAACCTCGTCGCTGTTCCTCGATCAGAGGATGTGCTTTGATTGTTCTTTCTTCAATTGCTTCAATGATTTAACTTTTTTAATAGATCACAACGTGTTGTAACAACACGTGAAACGTTACAAAACCACCATTTGTTTCCGATTTTCGTGATTCGAGTCGCAACGAGGCGATGACGAAATCGCTCCAACAACAAGAAACACAGTGGAGCTGGATCTAAAAGAACTAAGAGATCTCTAGCCTAGATTGTGTACTCTCTGTGTTCGTGTGAGGATCGTTAGCAGTGAGACTTTTAAATAAAATGCAAATAGCGGCCGAGCTTCGTTTCGTGGCACACCGAATTTCTCACCCTTTTCTTTTTTATAATGTACAAGTTATTTCGTATGCAAGAAAGAGACACAATGATCGCACATTCTTTCTACTTTTTACGGGAAAGTTAAATTTTTTAAAAATTTGCTTCCCTCCTGTTTCTGACGAATAGGATAAAATGTACATGTGAATAAAGTGTGCGACACGCGTAAGTTTATCTTTTCAAGTAATAATTTTTTGCATCTTAAAACAAAATTTCGAATTCTGTTCGTCGAAAATTTACAAAAATTCGATGTACTTCGAAACGTAGATTTTTACACACGTTCACGCAAACGCACTTTTTTGTATTTTGAACACAGAAGAAAGTGGCCGTATAATAACGTTATAGCAGTAATTTCTCGACGTAAAAATGTGAGAATCTAAATCGTCAGATAGCGATTCCTCATTAATTCCGCGAATAAAGACTTGGAAACTTGGCTGGCGCATCTCCCGATTCTCTCTCTCTTTCTGTATTTACAATCTCCAAATAAATGCACACGTACGAGGTGCGCTATTTTTGATAGTTCGATAGAGGACGAATTGCTATTCCGTTAATCGAAGAATCGTTCTATTGGAATTTTCCAATCGAAGAAATCGGGAGACGCTCCTTTTCTACTTGAAAATTTTATTCTAAATATCTATTCGAATAATCTAATTAAATATTAATATATTTATAATTTGCAAATGATATATATTATAAATAATAATATATAATAATTGTATATACATCGTATACAATTATTGTATTTAATATATACAGTTAATATATTTACTAGTAATATATTATAAATAATTGTTTTGTTATTTTGTCATTCTTCTATCATTAGTTATATCTTGGCAATATATTTTAGTTAAAAAATGAAACGGAAATTATGTTTCATAAATTGCCAACTACAAGTATTACTTTAAATTTCTCAAAATACCTTCTCTCAGTTTTTATTGCCGTTTCTTTCAACGTCCTACATTGTCGGGATTCGTGACTATTCTCAGTGGACACACAACATAGAATCTTAGTTTTCATTTCAAATTTTAAAGAATTTTTATTAGTAATTTCTGACTGAAATTCATTCACATATAAATTAAATTAGTAAGTGAGAAAGGAAAGCATGTCGAGTGACGTGTATTAATTTGTCTATTTAGTATGATGTTTCTCGTGATTCAGTGATCGGCTAACGCAGCAATCAGTGCGCAATCATTCTCTATTTCTGCCAAGAATCCAAGCATCGATCATAGAGTATAAATGTAAATAGTGCGCAAATTAAGGAGCCTTGTATTTGATCCTTTTAATTTATTTCTTCTTGACTGTATTGCAATTAGATTCGTTAGTTTCAAACAGCTTCGGGATTGTGTGTGTTGTCACTTGTTTCATGGGGAGACATTGTCCAAGCAATTGAAGTTGAATTCACTATATAAAAATATGTAGTAAAGAATGTGACAAAGAATACTGTACAAAATATAAGAGAAGAAAATTGATGAAAAATTTCACAAAGGCATTGAAAATAATATTTTTAATCAAATAACTACTTCAGTTCATATTTAATCCATAAAAAATATATATTTGCGTGAAAATTCATGATCTATGAACTTACTTCAACTGAAATGGTAACGCAGTAACCAGCTTGCCAGTTATTAATATTCAACGAAGGAGTATGTAAGTGGAATACATACAAGAAACAAAAATCTATCAAAGGAAGTAAAACTGGATGCTCAGACAAGATCCCCCTCTCGCATTCTATTGCGCCTAGATGTTCTAATATACAGAAATGAATAAAATTATCAGCACAAGCTAGAGTTCTTCCTGTAAATTTAGAAAACTTACTATTTTTTATTCAATGTTTTTTTTTTGTAAAATAGTTATGGTTCAATGTAAAAATAATAAATAGTAAAAGATATTTTATAAACAGGTTTTATGAATTGCATTAGTAACATTATATGCAGATTATACATTTCTTTGGCTATTTCATGTTAAAATACTTTTTTTTAACTGTTCAACTATTCATTTCAATTCCCACTTTTTATACATTGCATTTTATAACTATAAAACCACTCAAAAACTTTTAATATTATATTTTATTATTATATTATTGTATTATTATTATAATATAATATAATGTTAACCATTATAATTTAATATATTACATATTAATCATATTTTTGAAATTATACTGAGACTAAGGGAGACAATTTATGTTTTTCCCCCTCAAAATGGATAAATTATACTTATTTAAGAACAGAGGTACAGTAGCAAACTAATTCTTGTTTCACAACAATCTAGAACTAATTTAGTACAATATTTTATTTTAGAAAAATTGAAAATCAGCCAATTTTATTTGATTGCATCCCAATTCTGTAAAACTAGAGTACAATGAAATGAAACTATGAAAGCGATAAATGTTTAATTTCACGTATTTTTGATTAAACTTCAAAATAAATCAAAATTCAATGGTAGTTTTATAGTTAATGCTGTATAATGTATTTTACAAGAAAGATTAAATAAAAAATCGTGCTCTCTTCCAAATTCACACGAAAACTTCTAGAAACTAATCTAGCGTACTAGAAGCTAATCTAGCGTATAATTTTGTTCATCGCAGTATGCTACTATTCAAACTTCGTGCACAGTCCGGCTGGTGCAAGCTACACGCTACTGCGCGTCAAAAAAGGATCAACAAAAGAAGGGCTGTGACTCACTGCTTTATTCGGGCTTTGGCACGACCTTCTAGCGACTCTGAATGTCCGTCCGCAAAACGTTTTCGCGCGCACAGCGCGACTCGAGGCTTATTAAAAGAAGAAGAACAAGAAAAAGAAAAGAGAAGAGAAAGAAGAAAATGAAATTAGAGGGAAAAAAAAGAAAAGAAAAAGAACGAAACGTGAAAGAGGCAAGAGTTGAAAATCGCACGTGGGCCGTTTCTTCGAACGTGAGAAACAAGAGAGGAAATTTTCTTCGCGGGAGAACGCGCGCCCTTTAAGAATACGCAGTTTAGCATTCAGTCCTCTCGACGAACGACTTTCGACGATGGCTCATCTTCTTTCTCTTAAAATCCACTGCTCTCTTTTTCCTCTTCTTGGTTTCTTTTTTTAAGCTTCTCCCTGTACGAAGATCTATTCCTTCACTTTCCTTTGACAGCTTCGTTTAATATTTTCTCTGTATCACAACGCTGTTTATTAGTTATGTACAATTATCAATATTGAACTTGATCTTCTTTGTTAAGACCCATGCAGATCCACTGCTTTCGATGATTTTTTTTCCATTTTTTTTTTTTTTTTCTAAGTTTCTGTACAATGTACAAGTGATCTCTTCCCTTTACTCCTCACTTCACTTAAACTTTCTTCAGTAGCTGCAAGTCTTCACTTAATGTTTACTATCACAAACAACTCTATCAATTAAATATTATACGTCATTCGTCACTTGTTTCTCCCTTTACACGGTGGTTTTCGTATTCGTTGATTTATATAAAAGACACGTCGCGAGTAAATCGAGCTATTGATTGTTCAAGGTGAACACGATACTAGATTATCCTCTCCTAAAACTGGAGGACGCGTACAATTGTCAACGATCACAAATCCAGAATTTTCTCATCGTCGGTTGTCCGTGAATCGTTGAAATGAAAGCAAATCTTCTAGTCTCATCGAGCGATACATTCCTCGAGTATACATCACGTCGAGCAAACGAAGAGGCTCAAACCACTTTTATTACTGTTTGTCCGTCCTCGTGGCTTCCTCAAACAAGTCGTCGAACACCTTATCGACATCCGCGGTGTTCACGTTTAACAATGGCACTTGTTGAGGGGCAGGTATCAAGAGAGTTAATTTCTCATCGGTTAGGCCAGGCATAGTGCGACTACGAGACAGTCCAACCATTCCTTTAGGCGCAAATCTTGGGGATCTCCTATGTCTCAACGGATCTTTCGTTTCTACGTGCTCGCCAGGTTGATCGAAATACTGTCTAATCTTGTCCTCCATTTTCTTCACGCTGTCTGCCATCGATGACGCTTCAAACTGTTTGGACCTTAATTTCTGCGAAGACGGGGACCTTGGTTTAGGTGGTTTAGGATGAGAGGATGCTAAATTTTGGCTGAACGAAGACGCTGACGCCGGTGTGTTAATTTTCGATGGCCTGGGATAACGATTGGAGAGAGCCAACTGATGCCAGGATTCTGATTTCGAGAGCACTATGGATCTCGAGTGTTTATTCGCGCAGGAGACCAAGTACTCGTCGCTGGAGTCGATAGTCGCCGTTCCGTTTGGAATTGGCGAACGTTCCTTGTGAATTGGTTTCGTTTGAGAGTTTGGTGCTTGTTCGTAGGCTTCTCTTAACGCAACTACTCGGTTCACGGCCGTTGGACCTGGTGAATGTGCTCGAGATGGTTCTACCTTTTTTTGAGGAACCGGTGCTAGGTATTTGGCGAACCGACTTGGACCCGGGGGTCGGTCGAAATTTGCTGGTCGACTGTAACTTTGTTGCTGATGGATAGTTTGATTGAAAATTGGTTTTGAGTGGTGAACATTTTGAGTTGGATTTATAGGTTGCTGATGACCTAACGGTTTGTTCGTCTGTTGTCGATGACCTGAAATAACACTTGCTTGATTATAACTCTGTTGTTGATGACTTGATACGATATTTGATTGATTGTAACTTTGTTGCTGATGACCTGACACAGTATCTGATTGATTATAACTCGGTAGAATATTTGGTTGGTTGTAACTCTGTTGCTGATGACTTAATTCAGTGTTTGATTGACCGTAACTCTGTTGCTGGTGAAACGAGCTAGGAGATTGACTCGATGACTTAGATTGAGCTTGACTAACGGTCAGGTGCGGCCCGAAATTAGAGGGCTGATGCGGTGGATCGTTCAAGGAAGTAATCTCATTTTGTAGACGTCGAACCAGACTCTGTTGCAACAAATTATGCCGACGAATTTCATCCTCCGAAGCAATGGTCTCGTTGGTAGGTGGTCTAGACCTGGACCAAGAAAACTGCGAAGGCGAAGGGGACGATGATGTCCTCGAATCCATTGCCACTTCCTCTGATCGAGGCTCGGGACTGTCTGTCGACGATGCGACTGTTGCTATGGCACACGTATACCTCGTAACTATTCCAATCTCTGGACTGATATCCTGATTTTGAATATTCTGATCGTCTGGGAAAGTTGAGCTTTCTATGGACCAGTCTGGTGTTTTCTGAAGATCTTCTCTTTGTTCCTGCGTGTCTGACACCTCGTCGCACGCCTGATTGCAATTGGACAAAACAGGGGAAACGAAAGGAGAAGAGTATTCTTGGTTAGTTTCAAGCTCGTGGCTCTTCGCAGGAACTTTTTCAGACAATTGTTCCTGATAATTCTGCGTTCCCTGAAAAGGCACAGTCTCTCTGAAATCTTGTTCACCGTTCGCGGCCTGATCTACCACAGGATAGTCGGTAACTACTACAGGATTATTGAACTCAGAATCAGTGGACAGAGTGTGATAATTTTGATTATGATCCAGAACGAACCTTTGACGATCCTCGGATGTTGTTTGATCAGAGTCCGACTGTTCACGATACAAAGGTTTCCACTGTTTTCCACTTTCCACGTCATTCACCGATATCGTTGGTCTGTCCAATTCATTGGACGTTTGCACAGCAGCGTTACTGCAAACCAAGTTCGAACCCTTAGCGATTCTAGGCGCTACTCTGAAGGACCTCCCCTCGTCCTGATGCTTCTCGTTAATTCCAGTTTGCACAGCCACGGAAGAGCTACCTCTCAACGTGGTGTCAGCGAAATTATTCTCGCCATATTCTCGTCCTTTCATCATTTCAAACTTCTCCTTCGACTCTCGACGCTCCACAGGAGGATACTGTTGAGTCTGAGCAACACGTTTGTCTGGAACCAGTTTGAAGGATATCTTACCATCCACCACTCCAGCAACTCTGTCTCGTTGAGCCAGCTCTCGTTGACGTTGCTCGTCCAATTTCCTCGACTCTATGGAAGAAGCTTTCCCAACAAAAGGAGCGAACTGCTTACAAAACGATTTATAGTCTATTTTACCGTTCTCCGTGACCGTGTTGTTGGCTCTGTTCTCGTGTTCTATCCACGGCGGCCGGGGGAAACCAGGCTTCTCGTAGTTGGCTCTGAAAGATTTCGCCGGCTGTTGCGTCGTTTCCTTGTCGAACATCATTCTAGCCTTCTCTTTCAACGTGTTCGTTGGCACCGGGGCATTCTTCGGCCAGTGATAAGACGGTGGAACCTTGGACGGCGATCCTGGAGAAGACTTCTCTATTTTACGGAAAGGGGACGAAGGAGCGTGTCTGAAACCTGTCGTCGACTCCATCTTCGTTTGGGGATTTGGCGCGGAATAATTGGAATAGTTTGGAGTAGAATTGGAGTAACCTTGGGCTGGGAACATTTTATTGGCCCGAGACTTTAAAGAAGGCCTATTATCCTTTTCCTCGCTCGTCGCCGGTTTGTCGAACGTCGTTTTGATGTTGGAAAATTTACTGTTCCAATTTTCGTTGGTTAACGAGGACATGTCCATGGTGCGTCCGAAAGTCTTGAAAGGTACCACCGGCCCGACCGACGGCGTTTCGTTGTTTTTGTTGATCAATGCCAAGAATTTTCGATCGTTCTCCGTTTTAGGTTGAAACGTGGGCACTGTGACGTTGGCACAGTTGAACGACTTGTCTCCAACGTTGATCGGTTTCCTCAGGGACACGCAGCCTGCACCTTCGCGTCCGAGAGTCTCAGCTTGAAGCTTCAGGTAACTGGGAATATCGATGGTGTTCGCTCGCTTTATCTTCGATTTCTTCGCGACAAATTTATTACTGTGCCCGTATTTCTCACCGGAAGCCAGCTCAGCTCGCTGTCGAAGGATAGCCGCCAATTTGCTCACACGACTCCTCTCCTCGCTGTCTTCGACGATACCCTCGTTATTTTCTTTCTCCTGGTAACTGTTAGCTCTGTACTGAGCCTGGTACATATTCAACTCTCCGACAGCCTTGGCATCGCCTGCATCCACCTGTTGAATCCCACGAAACGAACAATTACTCTCCCGAATCTCCTTATTCTTATCCTCCAACAACTGTCTCTGATTTATCGCGTCTTTCGTGCACTTGTCGCGGATTTCCTCGGGCTTCCTCTCAGCTGCACCAACCGCAGACACAGCCTGCTCCTTCGCGACAGTCGGAACCTGCTTCAAAGGCAAGCTGTTCCTCTCTTCTTCCAGCCACTTTCTAGCTTTCGCCAATTCCTCCGCGGAAACGTCAATGGTGTGCCTGGTTAATCTTCGTCTTCTGCTGAGGGACGTCGACGGTAGCACTGGAACCTTGGCCTCTTCGGGCATCTGTAGCCTGGACAGTAAACTGGACACCAGTCTTAGTAGCTGCAATTTGCTCGTAGGATCGGAAGCTGCACCGTGTCTCGCCAATACGTTCACGTCGATCTTCTCCAACGTCTCTCGGAGACGCGACAGAGCAGTCTGTATGTCGGACAACAGCAAGTCTTCGAGGAACTTGAGGTCCTTTTTCAACTCTGGCTCCTTGCAGCTGCCAAGGGCCTGTTCCATCGATGTACGAATACGGAAGTCCTCCTCGGAGTCGACGCCAGAGTCCTCCGGGAGTGTCGGCGGCTCGTCCTCGCGGCGACCTTCTCCTAGCGAACGTTCGAGAGCCGCGCGTAGACAGTCGACCAGCTGCGGCAATGAATTCCACTCGCCGACTGGCGCGCTCTCGTTGGTACCTGTTGTCGTTGCTTGGTTTTTCGTCGACGGTTCTTCGTGCTTGATTTTCTCGTTGCCGTTGTCCACGGTGCTCGAACTCGCTGAAAAAGAAACGACACGAGACGGAGGTTGAACCGGGACACGACCTGAGGACACACACAGAGCGCAGAGACGACACACGAGGATGCGAAGTTACGCGAAGGATCTGGTAGTTTTCTCGTCTTTTTGTTCCATTTCTTTTTAATGTGTGTGTATGTTCTTTTTTTTTTTTTTTTTTTTTTGATAGCAGATGAAGAAAAAAAATATTTTTGTCGGGTCTAATTTGGTTTTTTATTTTTGTACGATGGTACAAAGAATAAAGTGTATTTTTTCTTTTTTTTTTGTATTTGGTTCTTTCTCGATTTTTATTTCTACTTAGAAGGAAGAACGATACGGAGTTCGCGGTTTTGAGTCTTTCGTACTTTTAAATTTTCTGAAGATGCGTGAGACACGAGGGAAAAATTTATCCCCTTGTACTTTTCTTTTTTCACGACACATCGATTTTGATCTTTTCATTTCACAAGGAGAAATTTATCATTCGCTTTCGTTTTCGACGCAAATTTCTCGTCATTGGCTCTTCGTGTACCAAAGTACACGAGGTAGCGAGATATACGAAAAAAACATCTATTTTCCTCGTCTCTCTACCATTCGTTTTAACGATACACGAGCGCAGATCTATTTTTCTCGCTCCAATTATTTACTTATTCGGCACGACACACGAGGAAGATCTACATTCATCTTTCTCTCCTTGATTTCTGTGCCGCATCTTTCATGCTTGCGTCGCTTTTCATTATTCTTCTAACTAGACTACGCTGCGTGTTTCTCTTTTTTTCTTTTTCGAGAGTCGAGAGTCGTATGGAAGTGGAATAAGTCGGCGTGCGTTGGCTCGAGACGGAAGAGGAACGCGTGAAACGCGTTTTCGCGAGGAGAGCTGCCGCTCAGCTTGACCGGCAGTCGCGCGCTCGCTTTATTTAAAAGCTACGGGATTCTCCGCGGGGATTTATTTTCGGTCGCTCGTTCAACGCCTCGCGGACCTCTTCCCACCGGGAGGAGAGAGAGAGAGAGAGAGAGAGAGAGAGAGAGAAAGAGAGAGCCGCGAGACGCACGAGTAGCTAATTCGAAATTCGAACTAGTTTTGATATTCCGTCGTTTCAATTCTTCTCCACGTTTCTCTTTCTCGTTTGAAACGTTTTCTTTACGCACAGTAAAGGTTTATCGAGTTGATTCGTGTGAGGAGGATAGGTCTTTTGCTCATGAGTGGTTAGCTCTTACTCGTGGTTAGCTTCTTTGGTAAGGAGCCAGATGGATCAACCTCTTCGTTACTACTATCAATTTCATGGATAACGTTAGTAGGGTTTCTTCTTAACTGGTAACTGAGAAAGTGGAGTTAAATCTTGATTCTCGTTAGGGTAACAATATTTTCTGATATTGGTTTAATTGAGTTTGTAAATTCATTGGGTCGGTTTAAGAAGTTTTTTGTAGATTCTACGTATTATAATACTGTCCATAGTATAGTGATTAATATAAAATGGTGGTTATCCTTCTTTCATATGTGTACGCAATACTGTTCAAAAGTATCCGGATAGGTTGTCTGTTTTTAAGATTTAATAAGATTTTATTTATGATAAGAAAGATTTAATTTATGATTTGCTACTTCTAAAAGGTAAAGACGATAAAAAACTATTGAACTGTTAATTTCCATAATTTATGAAAATTTTTTTAATAAAGTTACAATCAGATTAGTTAAGAAACAACTTATCCTGATTCTTATGAACAGTATTGCATCCAATAATATTTAACCGCTTAACATTAATGGATAATAGTTAAACTTCTTTTCAATAACTAACTATCACAAATATTAAAAATAATTACAATGAAAATTCAATCAGAAATAATACTAAAAATTTCCAAGTATAATATAACTTTGTGCTCACGAGGATAAACAAATGAAATAATCCAATTGAAATAAACTAATTCATCTCTAAACGCGTGTTAAGTGGTTAAACACAGTCGTGAATTTTTCGAGTCGATTCGTCCAAATCGCAACGTAGTACTCCCTCTGTTACAACGATCAATAGAAAACAACAGTTATATAAGTTTGTTAAATCGAAGTTGCCCGATGATTCAGCCCAAAAATAACAGGCCAAATCCAGGACGGATTCAACGATCCTCAAAATTGTTTTGCGTATCAGTTCACGAGCAATTAACACTACGAAAACTGTGCTTAACTAGATTTGTTCGACTCGAAACAGGTGATCCATCTATCCTCGAATTACCGTGCGTCACGAACCTATTTGTACGGCCTCTTTCTTCTCTGTTTCGATCGATTTCCTCTCGTCCTCCGCGTACGTCTCCTTCTCCTTTTCCTCTCTGAACGATTCCTCCTTCGTCTCTTCCGAATATTCTCTCACGATTTTCTTTGGGACATCGTAGGTGTCTAAATATTCCACGATGCTCGATCTTCCGCTTCCGCCCTCGACGATACTCTGGAAATCATGGTTCTCCACGACGGTTTGAACATCTGCAAAAGGATTTCATGATGCTTAAGTGGAACTTGAGAGAGTGGAGAGAATCAAGCGGCTTTTAATTAACACTTGAGCTGCCAGTTGTTTAATTTATAACAACAGATTAGTAGAGTATTGTAGTACGAGATATGTAGTGATAGATTGCTAGAATATCGCAGTGAAGGATATGTGATATTATACGTATATGTATATACTGCTTTGTAATATACATTTAACCTGTTTTTATACGTATTTTACGTATATATGGTATTGCAGTTTGTATGATACAACCAGAAAGAAGGTGATTTTATATGGAGAAATGAAGTGTTAAATGAAAAAAATGTTATTCTTCTTGAATATCTGTTTATATATTAATATTATTATTATTATATATAAATATATTAATATTATTATTATTATTACTGTTTATATTAATATTAATATTATTATTATGAATATCTGTTTATATATTAATATTATTATAAGTAATTTATATTAATATGTAATTCTTTCTTTGTCAAAAGCTTATTGTTAACTGTGTAATAAGTATTATTATTATTATTATTATTTTAACTATAAAACTCATTTCGATATAAGTTTAATAGTTCTAGCAATGAGACTAAACCCAGCTGATGTTTGAGAAAACGTAAGCATTCTAGTGATTGATGTCAATAATAATTAATACAATCGTTGACTCTTTGTTTCGATCATTCGTACGCTTTAAATACGATCGATTATACTGATCGACAAGATTGTTTAGTAAGAAACGCTGATGAATATTTCTCTTTTTTTTATGCCACACGTAATTTAACCCTTTGACAGAACGATGAAGAATTAGAAAATCTTAAATCGTTACAACAACACGTGTAATTCAAATTCTATATACATTTGTAAGAAGTAAAAATTAAGAGACCAAAAGAAATTTATCATAGTATATTGCGATTACTATTATGATATTACTAAATACTTGACGTCCCAATTTTTTTCTCTGCCAAAAGGTTAATGCAACAGAAAACACAGCAATGGTTACATCGCAGAAAGATGTACGCATTTTATTTTATTTAATTTCTCTCATTTCTTTTTTTTGTTTTTTTTTTTTTTTTTTTTATTTTTCTCATTTTTTTTTTTTTTTTTTTTTTTTTTTTTTTTTTAGTAGTCACGTGCATAGAACATCTTCGTTCAATTTATTCAATGCGATCAATTGGAAAACAGAGTGTGCCAGACTTCAAAGAAGAGAGACAGAAAGAGAAAGAGAGAGAAAAAAAGAAGAAACAGTATTTTTCGTTAATGATGTTACGCTTTGCAAGAAAAAAAAAAACGGCAATCGTACGCCGTTTCGTATTTGTTCAACAACCACGATCGATCGTACATTTTTCCCTGTGTGGACCAATCTCGCTCGTTCATTATCTATACTCATACGATACTCGTAATAATCGTAGGCCAAAGATATTCAAAGAAGATCGTGACGCCAGCTCGTAAAGAAGACCTCACCTTCCGCCTCCGACATTTTGATCCTCTGGATCTTCGACTGGCCGCCTGAAAATCCAAAGCAAACATCGTCCATCAGCAAGCTGTCGATATTCGTAAGATATTACAAACGCCAGTAAAATTAAATCGACGAAATAACAAACGAAACGAAAGAAACAAGCAAAAAGATTTCATCCTTTTTCTAGATTTTTTAGATTTTTTTCACAAAAAAGAATCTGCGTCTTTTTCTGCTATTTTTATCTTGTTTATTCTATTATTAATAGACCGCCAATTTTTGCTTCGTCTAATCATAATTGATATTCTACTTTGGATCTTTTTAATATTTTTCCAAATTGTCCGTAGACAGTCAATGATAATCAATGATCTTTCTAATTTTTCTCGACTTATTTCTACTTGTCTTTTCAATAATATTTGATGATAATTTATAACACTGATAATAATTTATTTTTTTCAGATTTGTCTCACATTTATTCAACGCGTTAGAATCTTAATTTTTATTTGGTTTAATAAATTTTCTACTTTGTTACTTTCTAATTTTTTTTTTCGTTAATAAAAGAAGTTTTCACTTTTTGTTCATCAATCACGCTGTTATTACGACCTTAATCTAACTTTTTGCCTAATTTCACCACTATCTCGTTCCGCTCCACCGTTAGAAACAGAAATTTGTATCTTTCCTTACCTAGTCACAATATTAATCTGTTTTTGTCTTAAACAACTTTTCACTGTTAATTCCTTTTTTCACACTGAGAGAATTTCAACAGTATAAACAAACTTTTCAAAATCTTCCCTCTTTCAATGTTTATTATCATTATCACGATGCGGTCCTATATTATTACAGAAATTTTCACCACTCTTGTCCCAGTTTCACAACATTGTGAAATGATCTATTTCTACTCAAACAAACTTTCCCAATTTTGCTTCGTACCTTTTCCAACTTCTTCGCGTTCCACCTTTCTTCTCTCCTAATTACCTAATTAATCTTCATTAGATCGCGGATATTTACAATTAGAATTAGAAAAGTGAAACTCGAACGAAAAATTATTTTGCCTATTAAAAAAGTACTTCTTATTTTGCATTTTTTCAAACTTTATTAACAAATGGATAAAAATTGACACACTAATCGTCTGATGCGTCGTTTTATAAAAAAATTTTCAAAATCGTCGTCATTTCGATCATTTCAAGCCCAAAACACAAATGTTGCTATAATAATTCACAACATTTGTTTCTCAATTACCTCGTTCTTCTTCGACTTTTCTTCACGGCAGCAACAAAAGACAGAAGACAGCAGAAAAAGCGAAGAGTTCGTCACTTCTCGGTCCTTATTTCCCTGGGTTCTTATTTCACCGCGACATTGAGCCACTTTCATCGGACGCGCGGTATTTAAGTTGACGCGGGTAACAGAGAGCGGCCGAGCACGCGTTTTCAGGATTCTCAAATGCAAGAGCGTTTCCGCGAAAAGCCGAGAGCGCGCGCGGATCACCGATCCAGGTCCAGAACGTGAAATGAACGACTCTAGGTCTAGCCTGGTGCATTTCTCGATGGCGGGCAAGCGTTGGCGGCTGTTTCGGACACGGCAGGCCTCGCGCGAAAATAACTTTGACCCGTTTTCGCGCATACGGAAATTAGGAAGTGCCCGATCCTCTATGCAAGCTACGCTCCCGATACAATATACCACGATTACTTGGAACCGTGATTCGCCGATTATCCCTCAACCTTAACACTATTCTCTACGAGTGTTTCTTACCACTGTTGACAAATACGATTCTTCGTTAGATCAGTGATTACTATTGGTTCTATTATTTATTAGAAATTGTATACGTTGATGTGACATGCACTTTTTTTTTATCAAAGTTAGTCAACTGTTAAAATGTAGTATAATATAATTTTTTTTTTTTTTTCGAAATAGATGTAATAATAACTGTCCAAAGATTTTTGAACAAGGATGGTAAGTACACACAGGAAACTGAATTGGAAATTCAAGGATGTGAAATAAAATAAATAAAATAAAATGTTGAGAGTGGAGTACTTATTACAATTAGACGATGAAAATGATACTTCTGATATTTGTAACTAATAGGTATTAATTACTTATTTTGGAGAATATCACAAGGAAAATTTAGATATTACTGATTGTGAATTAACAGAACACATTGTAGAGACAAAGAGGCTAATATAAATAAACATAAATATAAATATAAATGAATATAAATATAATCTAATGTTAATAAGTATAAATAGAAACGATTGATGCTAATTGATGAAAGCGACGACGAATTTTTACATACACGCAAAAGAAGAATTCTCAAGAACGAAGGATCGATGGAAATAAAAAAAGTGCTTCAGTTTTCATTCAAGCTCATATCAACGCGAATCTTTTAGAACTCGAGTTGAACAAACATCCGAGTTGTTGCTTCGTACACTATAACAAATGTTTCCACGTGCAGTTTGCGCAATCTAAGGAGCGTTTTCTCATTCAATTCTTTAACGCAAAAGCTGCAAAGTATGCGTGTTATTCCTGTTAAACGTCATTTCAATCACTCATTGAAGCGTTTTCACTCACTTACGAACGATTCTCGTGTTAATGCCTTAGAATAGTAACAAAGGCACTGAGAAACGTGATCATAAGGTGTATTTTAAGGAACGAACGAGCTTTCTATGCTTTCTATACCTATTGTTCCTTCGTATGACAAATTTCTATCTATAGACCTTGTGAAATTCCACGGATAATTGCGTATAATTGTAAAATGAATTGTTATAGTTACATCGAGGTATTTCCGCATTTTTTGAGAAATTTAACAATGTAAAAAAATCTATAGTTCTATAATAGTACCATATAAAATATATAGTTCTATTCTATAATAGTAAAATATATAGTACTATTCTACAACAGTACTATATAAAATATATAATTCTATTCTATAATAGTAAAATATATAGTACTATTCTATAATACTATAATACTATTCTATAATACTATATTCTATTATATATAATACTATTCTATAATATATTCTATTCTATTATAATACTATTCTATAATATAATAAATAATATTATACTAATAATACTATTCTATAATACTATTCTATAATATATTCTATTCTATTATAATACTATTCTATAATATAATAAATACTATTATACTAATAATACTATTCTATAATACTATTCTATAATATATTCTATTCTATTATATATAATACTATTCTATAATAGTACTATATTCTATAACAGTACTAATATCTATAATACCACAATAAACTGTTTCTTTCCTTATATTGTGGAAGATTTTTAACGTGTTTCTATAAAATTTCTATTATTTTAATAAATCTTTTTGACTCTAGAGAAGGAAATTTGTTTCACTACGATTTTAAAGATTGACGCCTCTCCTTTACAATCTCTTAAAACTTATTGCTCGATTATTTAATTTTCTCATCATTTTATCGAACTTTCAATATTACGATCAAACGATGAAAATCCAAAGAAATCTTAAAGTTTTGTTGTTTAACTTTAATCTTCAAAGTTCAATAAAATAGTAAAATAATAGAGAAAGATCGTACAAGAAGTTGTAAAGAGAGAATAGTGGATTTAGTCACGAAAAATATTGTTCAACGTTTGAATTTCGACAATTCTCGAAAATAAATTATCTTTACTTTTTCACCTGCTACACGACGTAAGAACAACCTTGGAAAAAAAAAAAAAAAAGAAACGAACTCACGAGTGTCAAAGTGGAGGATTTATGCTTCACAATAAGTCCAAGTGGATTGCTACACGATCTTTCTTCACCAAATTTAAAATATCTACAATTTTTTTCATCTTTGACGATTCAGTTATTATTGGCACACAAACTTTCCAATCAACGAAAAACCTACGTAAAATTTCTTGTTCGTCTAGCTTCTGACATTCCGACGTGTCCATACATATATTTATAAGTACGTTCCTGAAGTACGGTGGAAGCTGCGAAGAAAAAAGGTCGTGTCAATGACTCTCGAGGCAAAGACGTTACTCGGCAAGAATTCTCGATAATCGACAGAAACGCACGTCAGTTGCAGAGATCAAGTTTGCAAAAGGCTGGTGATGATCGAGGGTGAGAAAGCGGGCGAAAGTTCCGGTCAGTTTGCTTTGCACGCGGGACGACCATGATAGGCAACCGCGTTCTACCACGAGGCCGTGTGCTTTATAAATAGTTCCGAGAAGCGTTTCACCGTGGTAGACGTAGTCTCGTTCCCTCCCTCCCTTGGCTTTTTTTACAATATTTCCTCGCTTCGATTCATCATCTATCTCTTTCATTTGTCAATTTGGAAGATGTACGATAGACGGAAGAAGATTTAGTGAGATCTTAAAATAAAGTTCGAATCTTTCTTATTTTCTGTTCTATTATTACTATTTATTATTTCTGCTATAACTATTTTATTTACTTTTTTCTTTTTTTAGTTACATTGTGTCGCATCATATAATTTTTTTTCAATTAATTTGTAATTTTCGAATTCTGTTTCTTTAATATTATTGCCATTATGAAATCCCAAGCATTTGCTTTCAAGTTGAAGTAACATTATTACTAACGAACTGTGGATTTTTATTCCAGATTCATTTGTTTTATTTGCGAATTTTAATGTGATAACTCACGCGTGCATTTTGTACGTTCCTGCACTTTTGAATTTCCCATAAACGCATAAAAATCTGCAATCTAGTGACAAATTACTGTATTACACTACAATAAGTTAAGTGGAATTATCAATTGATGTAATCGCAAATTTTTGTAATCAATTTCTATCATCATTTATCGATGAAATTATAAATCTCAGAATATAAACTGAAAACAAATTTTGTAGAAAACTGAAAATTGCAGAAGTGCGTAAATATATTCAAAGTACAGTGTAATCACCATGATATTTATTTAGGAAGTAGGGAGAAATTTCTACTCGAAGTTTTTTACAAACACATCGCAACGAAAGGATTATTTTTCAGTTGATCGCGAATTAATTATTAAAATTATAAAACTTTAGCCGTCGGCCTCATATACTTATTCGTCTCACATCACTATATCGCTTCTTCCATCTATAATAATTTTATTAGCAATCAGACAATTACCATTTGTTTTGCAAGAGAGAATCTCAAAAAGACAAGTGTTCTCAGTGGGTCATGAAACAAAGTTCAGAGTAACTTCGCAAAATTATTATATTACCGCGGCGTTGTTATAATTAATCAGGCGTTTACTGAAACGTTCTACCGTATTGTACCAAAATACGCATCTGTGTATCTAACGACCTTCCCGTCCCGAAACGCGTGAGATACGAGGCGATCAAATTCGAAGCGATCGCAGTCCACACGTTCCTCGTGGACGTCTGCCAAGTGAGCAGTTTGTTGCTCGAAAGCTGACCGATTTTGGCGATGTACATGAATCGAGTTGGCTTAAGAGGCATAGGTCCAACGATCTTCGATCGTCGTAGCACAACTTAATCGTAGCTATCAATGCGATGACGAGTCCGTTTTGGCAGTTTCTCTTCTTCCACGTTAAAACTACTTATTTTTCAATTACCAATCCCCTTCATTCGAATCGTCCCCTCTTCTGATAGTTTGATTTTATAATGCACTTGTTGCTGAATTAAATATTGTTTATCTTTGATGTTTCATTCTTCAATGAGTGAACAGAGAGAAGAAAGCTCGACAATTTCAAAAGATCGAGAAAGACGTCGAAGAACGTACGAAGATAATGAACTATACGCCAACAGAGTTTACGAAGACAGAAAACACTTATAAAAATTTGGCTCGCGAAAGTGTTTGAATTTGAATGTTTATTGCAGGACATGTTTATAAATATGTATTGTATGTATTTTAGAATTTTATTAATACTGCAGTGAGATACGACTGTCATGATTATATTGTTTAAATTTAAAACCAGTTTCCTGGTTATAAATATATATTTCGTAAAAATTTAAGAACGAATAATGAACAGTTATTTCATACGTACAATATGTATTAAAAATGATCCCACCGAATATGGAAGTTTATTAATATAATTGGTACTTGACTGCCTAAGTACTTTTATGATCTCTGTGAAATATACAATAAGTGCTTTACAACTTCTATGTACATTTTCGGATTTATACTAATGTAATCATGATAGCCAACTTTCGTTACAGTGTTAATTGTTTGTCTAAAATTTCTTAATGCCGCTAATAGTGATATCATACCTTTCAACACGTGGTTGTTTTTTTGAATAATTTGTCTAGATTATAGAGAACATTCAATAACTTAATATTTGATTAACTGTAACTGTAGTTCACCAAAATAGTAACACAATATTATTTATAAGTTATTAGTTATAACCACTTGCAAACTTTGTTACTTTTCATCTAATACTTTACAGTATATAATACCTGATAATTCTTTTTCTTAAATCTACTGTTTCATAAAACGTTCACTACTTTCACAAAAGCTATATTCCTTTTCTTAATTTCCAAAACAAACGATACTTCACCCATAATACCCATTGACACCGTTAACTTTCAATCCACTAAAAAAAAAAATACCCAGACAACCACAACGGTAATCCCCCATGCAGTCTAGCCTATTGCTTAACCAATGTAATATAAAAAAGAAAGAGAACGAGATACATAGTTTACCTTGAAGGATCAGAGGAGCAGTGTCGGTGGTGTATTGGGGAACTACGTGCACGGGAGACTGCGCGAGCACCAGCCTCTCTGCCACCAGACTCTTCGTTCCGGTGGTTATCGTCGTCTTCGGCAGTGGTAGTGGTGGTGGATGTGCCATAGGTGGTGGCAGTAACGACGGTGGATGATGCTAGCAGCGCTGCCGTTAAAAGCTTACCGTCACCCGGCTCGAATTAGACCTCCTGAAATAGCTGGCGAGTTATTGCCGGCACTATGGACCAGCCTGGACGCATACCTCGCTATCGCGTACGCGTCGTGACGATTCGATCGAGGTGCACGCTTCCGGTACCGGACACGGATACACCGGCACTACCAATGGCCCATCTTCTTGGCGCAAAACACACCGACGATCCTCCTCTTTGGCTTCGAACGTCGGGCACCGTGTGCTCGCTACCAGCGGCGAGTGGACACTTGGCCGTGGCCGTATGAATGAAAAACGGTAGCCCGTATCCGGGATTTTACGTTCCAGTAACTCCGTTGACCAGCATTCCGTGGGTTGCTTTTATTGCGGAGCGGAGGATGTGAGTCAGGTGAGAGTTCGGTGCCGAGAGCTTGTCGACGCTGACGAGTTTCTACGAGTCGATTGGAAGTATCGTTACTAGAGCGATGATAGTGATCGGTTTGTGTGCTGAATTCTGTTTTCTTTCTTCTTGTTTCTCATTGTTATAAATATTTGAGATTTTAATGTTTGAGAAAAGAATTGATGGTCGAGGAGAGATTGAGGTGAAATTTTATTCAGTCTTGCTGTGATCGTTGAATTTTTACTTTTACTTTGTAATTTGTAATATTTTTAGATCGATGCGCACTGACGAGAACTTTTTTATTTTTAATTCTATTTTTTTTTTTTTTTTTGTGAAATATGACGAACGGTAAAAGAGTTATTATTATTTATATGAATAAGATTGAATTTTATTGTTTTTATGAAGCAATAAAATTCAAATATAAATTCATATGTAATTCATATATAAAATAAAATTTTGGTTATGATAGTGTTCTAGAAATTATATATACTAATTAGCTTTATGATAAATAAATAGATATAGCATGAATATAAACATAATGATAATAAATTAGTAAATAGTTAATTGGAAATATTGTTTTTACCTTGGAATTTAACAATTTGTGCTACTCTTTTCTTGTATGATAAGTAAAATTATAAAAATGTGCCATTTTTTATGATCTGAAACATCAATAATTTACCTGGATAAAAAAAACATAAATATACTTGTCGTTCAATTAAATAATAAATTAATAATATACTTATCTAAATATACTTTATCACTATAAGCATCAAAATGCGCTAAAAATAGTCCAGAGTAGGTCGTATCTTTTTCGTCAGATACCAAGTCTATATTTGCAACAATATTCACAGTCCTTTTTTTCAAATTTAAATTCTTACAAATAAAATGTTGATAAGTCATTCCACAGTAGTTTAATTAATCTGTTTCGTTGATAATTCTCTCTATAAAACTAAAAACTAAATCTTGTATATTATTATAAAACGTGGATCCACTTTTACAATTATAAATTAAAGCTCAAATATTTGCTTTCCTTCGCATCGTAAAACTTGATCCTCAATGAATTAATCTCATCTTCAACTAAATTACTACTTAAATACTTCTCCTGTTAACCAGAACTTATTTCAAGTGTAACGTGTGACGAAGCACGAAAAATATTCACGGGGAACCAAGTGGTAAACGTCACCGTCTGTGCAGCCATCGAAGTCTCCTGCGTGCCATCGGGCATGCCGCGCGATCCACGCTCACGTGTCACGTCTCGTGTCGTCATCCGGGATCATCGATCGCAGATCCGCCGAAATAAAACGCACCAGACGTGCAGCTCTCCGCTCGAGCTGCGTTTTCCTGGCCCAGCTGATCAACAACACCTTTTAGTCTCTCTTCATCTCCACTGCTTCGAGACCAGTATGTAACCGTCTCCATCGAGAATCCGCCCCACCTGTTCTCCTCCGTTCTTTCTCTTTCAATACTCCCCTCTTAAACGTAATCAAGACTCACGGTCCCCTCTACTCCATGGCTGGAGATCGCTTTCGAAGACCCGTTAACCTACTGTGGTTCTTAGTGCTCGAGCTGCCTTCGAACCATCCATGTTCACCGCACAGGTGCTCGCATCCTGCACTATTCTTTCACAATAATCGTCCTTGGACGCTGGTAGCCAGAGCGTGGCGACCTAAGGTACACAACATTTCTTAGAAACTTTGACTTTATACTATAGATAGTATATACTACTTTATATTGCTATCTTGCTCAAATATAATTTAAAACCCTACTGTGATCATTAGACGGCCTAGAAGTTGCCGAAATGCGAGAATATGTAAAATATCTAGAGTCGAGTACTTACTATGATAAATTCTTTTAGTCACTTGTTCATTGAAATTTAAAACTACATAGAATTTGCAATTCAGTGAGTTAGAAGAAACTGAAAAGAGAAATCATCTATGATTCTTTTATGATATTTGTAAAGAGCTTTCCAAAAGTAAGCCAAAAGATTTCCTAAGAACAGTGAAGTTTGATTTGAAAACGAGCTAAGGAACTGATTTGTTTTCTGTTACGTGTGTATATTTGATGGAGATATTCAGGGAGAGCCGCTGATGCCAAGTGGTCTGCAAGGAGAACCGGAACTGGCCGGTTCCCTCAGGGTCGAGAAATACTCGAAGATCCGACTGAAAGGATGAAGGGATGGTTCGATGCTTTCCGCATTGACGGAGGGCCAACTTTATACAGTTACAGTAATCGTACACCTGTGACGGGTGATGTTCCTCTGGTGATAGTATTTGTCATCTTCGGCACCATCTTCACCGCGTTCCTCGTCATATTTCCTGGAATACGAAAGGAGGTCAGTACTTTCTTTTTTTTTTTTCTACCTATTCTTTAACCCTCTTTAATGCCATGTGAAATCACAAAATGATAGATCAGAAAGATTTATTCGTTATGATTACCAACTTATATATATCAGAGTAACAATGTTTTTATTAGCATAATACTTGCTGATTTCAAGTTAATATAAATTCTTTTATACCCGCAAGAAAGGAGTTAAAGTCTCATTCTTTGATTAATGATTTAATTATATATATATGTATAATTGTTTAGTTGTTTAGTTATTGGTATAATTATGAATGTTTCCTGATTGCACAGCGTGTTAGCACGTTCCTTACGGTGACCTTGAGCCTTTTCGTCGGAGCGTCAATCCAAGGTTTAGTCCATTTTGCTCGCAATTAACCGACTTTTCTCTTGTTGAACTACATATCTGACTCTTTTTGCACGATTGCAGTCGCTCAGTATGGATCATCCTGGCACACCAGTTCCGCGACCATCGTCAGCACGTACAGCGCATTCTCCAAACAGAAGACCACTGCTGAAATAGGAGGATACATTGGCTTGATGCACATAAACATTACGTATAGGCGTAAGTTAAGCTAATAATGAATTTGCCAGCCGCCTGTCGTACGTCGAGGCTCAATTGTCTACTCGAGGTCACTTTCTCAATTATGAATTGCAAATGATTGGTTTCAGTTCTTATATGATAGGATCAACTGTTTATAGCAATGCTTACTTTAACGGAGTAATTTCTCTATTATTCCCTGAAACTCGTACAATAATTCACTACATTACAATTTACAAATAGTTTGATATTTAAAAACCTTGATTTCGTAAGTGATTCTTCTTTCATTCTTTTAATAATTCCCACGCAAAGTGCTACCAAGCAGCGACAATCCAATGGATGATGTAGAATATAACGAAAGATTCTGGTGGAGGAGTACCGGAGAGATGACGAGCGCGTTCAAGCAAGCATTGAACCAGGGTGCACCGTTTCCTATAGTTTCTCTAGCCGAATACTTCAGCCTTCATCAAGAAGGTTTTTCGTGGGGAAGCAAGTATCGACAAGCTGGCTACTACGCGTCACTGATGCTCTGGTATGCCTCGAGAAAATACTTTTGGCATTGAGTCACGCTTAATTCATTCTCTTGTCCTGACTGTGTCTTTCTTTTTTTTTATTTATACGTTGACTAATTGCTTCCTTTTTTTTTTCTAGGACGTCCTTTGCCTCTTGGATCATGATGAATCTGTTATTAATAGTCGTGCCACGATATGGCGCCTACGGTATGATCTTCACCGGGATATGTATGCTCCTGACCAATTTAATCTACTGGGCACTTTTACCTTGCGAACCTCTCATCGCGCACATCGAAGGTTCCATTCTTGCATTTAACCTGGGATGGAATTATTGGCTTGTTTTGTTAGCTGGTTAGTGTTTTTTTTATCTTTAATTCTAATCACGTGTAAATGCAACGTTATTGGATATTGAAAGTCAAAATGAAATACTGCATTAACGCAAAGTCAGTCCTTAAATTTATAATAAGAGGAAAAATTCTTCAGGTAGTGAATTTTTCTAGGTATCGGATGCATGTTCGCTGGAGTGGTGATTACAGCGATAGATATGATTTTTCCTCATCAATTCTCCACCATATTGGAGGTTGATTACGATACACCGTACGACAGGCACGTCATCATAGAGGAGAGTTTCGATACAAGGAATATCAGGCGGAGACCTAAAATTGAGGATTCATTTGGTGATCGTATAATAAGGTTCTATTCTAATTCATATATTTTTATATATTGCGTGTTAACCCTGCTGCGTTTTTTTTTTTTTTTCAATCTTTCTCAATCCAGTTACAGATTTTCTATCATTAACAAATCTCTTAAATTCGAAGGAACTATGGCTGTTGCTTTCGGATTTGAAAACAAAATCAGAATGAAATTTATAAAATAATATCTAGAATCACAGCAGAGTTTTAAATACGACAGAGTTTTAGAATTTATTAAATGGATTTGGAATTTATGTTGTTTCAGTCAGTTGTCGTCGAAATTGCAAAACAGACACGATACCAAGGAAGAGACACAAGGTGTGATAAATCGAGGATACACGTCGCACGAATCGTCAGAGTTTCACCATGAATCTAACGAAGATTCGACGAAGAGCAACTGGTCCTATCCATTTCCATCGTCTTCACGTAGACCAGTTAATGCCTGATTTCTTTATAATTATTATTTAACAATCTATTGTTAGTAAATTCTTCGATATAGTTTAATAGAAGTTTACTTAAAACTGTAAACTCAGGCCCAGAACTCCTATGGAGAAAGGAAGGGAATAAATATTGATTTATAACATGTTCATTCTTAATTTTCCTGATAAACTGAATTCTTTAACCGTTTGAGGACACAGTCTGAAATCTAAATTGACTTCTTCTCAAATTAATTGGCAATTAATAAATGACAACTTAATTTACGTGACGTAATTTACAATTTTGACCTGTTTATAATTATTAGGGATGAAATTTAGAACCTTCTCGTATTTGTAATCACCTCGTCATCATAAATATTATTATATTTAGTAGTATGAATTCGATCCTCAAGCGATTGAAAAAGTATTTGATAAGGAGATATATAGTTTCAGGATAATGATCTTAGAAATCGTTTAAATTAATCAGTTCTGCTTATCAATGTCGCATCACACACGGTTGACATTCATAATACTGATTTTTTTCAAACGTCAGTTAAAGAAAAAAATACTTCTTTCGTTCTTTCACAATCATAAATAAGAAATATAATACTTGTTATATAAATTAAGGGACGCCCGGTAAGCGCATAAATATGTACACTTGATAAAATTGCATGAGATTCACGATAGAGTCCATCGTTCTTCTTGTTCTCGAAGTAATATAGATCAGACTAGCCAAAGTTCTCGAAGTGGTGAATAAAGTACGGCAGACGGCGACCTTTATTCACTTCGTCGCAGGATGACATCACGCTCTTCGTTAGAGGACGTGGCCCACAACTAAATACTCCTATCTTACTGACCTACGACAGTATTTAATACACATTTTAATTCGTTAACAGCATCTAAAATTTTTTGAAAATATTTAATTGTTAAAAAATGTTTAATTTTAATTTCTGAGCTAACAAATAAACGAAAATAATTCGAAAACTTACGTAGCTGTGCTTTTTCTGAACAAACTTTAAAAACGAAGTCATATCCGGCCTGCCAAAGTGATTTATCGCCTTTAAACCCGTGAATATGCTTTTCTTGGATAGCCTCTGGAAATGGTTTTCACAAATATACTGCAACAGAGAAATATCACTCAACTTGTGTTTATGTAACAGAGGAACAATTTCACAAGCATTACAATTGTTCCACAGCTTACCAGCATGGTTGTACGTAGATCGAACTTGTGAAAGAATTGCGTAATAAATATGTGAATTTCTAACACGTCTGTAACATCTTTCCTTTCGACGTCCCTCAATACGTCGATGAACCATTCGAAATGCTTGTGAGAAGGGCAGATCCACAGGAAATAAACCTAAATTTAATAACACAGGGACACAACATATTAACTACAGAAAATATATAAAATGTTAAACAACATTTTTTTCTGTATTAACAGAGATCAGTCACCTCTACAATTTCTAATTTTACAATTTCAAAATTTCTTGTAAATGCGCAGTCTACTGATTATAATAAAAATCAGTTACAACTACCTTTTTACAAGCGACACCAGAGTATCTATTCGTAGAGGTTCCAAACACAAGGTCGTTCAACATGGAAGCATAAGGAGTGACACCGATACCACCGCCAACCATCACAGCGACCTCGAACTTGTACCAATCTTGATTACCACCACCAAACGGCCCTTCTATTCTTATTTTCGGATGTTCGTCCTCCGGGTTGTAGTTGCAGGGATCGAAGTAATTACGCAATTTCCAAGTCCACGGCCCTTGTGCTTTAATGTGACACGAGAGGAAATTTTCGTGCGGCGCAGAAGTCAGGGTGAACGAATGAAACTCGTTCGATCTAAACGCGGTACAGGAAAGGCGGACCCATTGGCCAGATAAATATTTCAAATTCGGTGGCCTGTAGAATTTGATTTTAATCACGTCCGATGGCAACAGTTCCGTTTCGATGATGTCTAGCGCCATGTATTTGGTACGAAGGCTTACAACCTTGAAACCGATAATAATAATGTGAAATGTATTTCATTGATTTTGAAAATATTGTTTATATAGAAAAATTGGATAATAAAATTAGAAAATTAAATAATATGATAATATGCTAATAAAATAAAAATAAAAGTATAAAAAGATAATCATTCTAAACAACCTTGTCTAAGGAATAAATAATGGCTGGTCCAACGAAGAAGATCCAGAATCGTGGAGAACCGGTCAATCGTGCCAAGCCGTGTATTAAACACAACGCATATAATACTACATATAAACTATGCGTGGACCAGAAAAATTTGTACGCTTTCTGACGAATAGTTGGATGAGCAAAGACAAAAATAATCGTCATTACAATGAACAGTAGGATTCCAGTTAAACCTGTAACAATAATTTAATATTAGTTAAAATATTTTGGTGATTATTAAGTAATTTATCAAATTGAATAATTACCTGTTACTGTTCTGAAAAGCCAAAATGATATTGTCAACCGGGCATCGCTTGGAAAACTAATTTCGCTGGTCAGACAACGAAGATGAGCTAATGGTTGAGTAGAGACATGATAAAAATTCACCATATGTCCCACTGTATGCAAAACAGAGAAAAATAACGCGGTGCACGCAGCAATTTTATGAAACTGAATATGAGAATCGAGAGGGATATATTGTTGAATAGAAAATTCTTTGAGTTTGGTCAGAAGATTGCGTGACATGGTTAAAAGTAGTAGACTGTAACAAAATGACAAGGCTGCTGCAGATCCTCTGGTTATGGCGATTCCAACTCCCATAATGTGCCTCAGATCCGTGTGTTCAGCCATAAAGGAATAATCTGAAATTTAGAGATCATTTATGACATTTTGTGACAAATATTAACTATAGTAGTATATTAACATACTACAACTTGTTTCTTCAGAAAGCCTCTCAATTATCAAACAAAGTATAAATTAAAAACTATTCTAATTCAACTATTTTAATCAATTTGATACTTTTGGTATCATAACAACTAAAGAAACTTACAAATGAATCTTTCAACGAATAAAGCGATGGTTGTGACATAGAAAACAAACAGGTAGAAAATATTCTGTCGATTCTCCTCGAGAAATGTTGAAACAGCGTCCCACTGTTTTTGAGCCCACGTCTTTGAATCCTCTGGTGGAAGTTGATCAATATGGAAACTCGTCATGCGGGCTACGTTTGTCGATGTATCGAGGAAATTCTGCTTTGCGCCTTTGCAATCGAGACCGATCGCCACGAAATCACCTTTATACTCTTTCATCATCAGCTTGAAATCGTTATACGTGAGGTAATCCTTTCTCTCCAGTCCAGCGTCCTGAAATAAATTGTTTTCGAGATGCAATCTCTACTTTTCGATACGGATAATTTAACGACGATCTGTTTTAGAGTTGAAAGTTTACTTGGAACATTCCATCTATCAATTCCGTGACATGATCGTCGGATAGGCTGGTTGTGCGTGCGATTTCTACCAAAGATCTGAGCATTTCTGACAATTCCTCTTTGTCGATAACTCCATTACTGTCCTTGTCGCACATGTCGAAGATAATTCTTAATTTATCCTCAGTTTTTCCGCGAGAGAATAGCAAAACAGTGTCCAAAAATTCCTAAAATGAAGATATATTTGATTTGATTGTTTAATATTAATGCCATTAATGTTATTAACATTATTTGATATTAGCTTAAGATATTAGTTAGAAGGAATTTTTAGTTTCTTTTATCATTTTATTCGCATAATTTCTTGTGGTCACAAACATAGCCTTCGAAACTTGATACTAAATTTGAAAAATTTTTAATCAACTTTTCCAGTCACAAAGTATAAGTAACTTTTTATTCATTTCTCTTCAATTTTTAAATTACTTATTGTTTAAATCAATTTTTAATTTCGTACAATATTTATATACATTAATGACCTAACGCTTGGCCTCAAATAGAAAGGAGAAATTTACCAACTGGAAGTACCGATTAGTCAGAGAAACTCGTTTAAAATTCATATCGCAACATGAATGATGAAGATAATAGTAAAGTAGTGTCGTAACCTGTGTAATATATACAATATTATCGTTTCCTTATTTTTAGGAATTACTCAAAATCTCCGCGATAAAGATTTCAAAAATTCGTAGTTTATTATATATTTTTCAAATATATTTTTATACTTAAAATTTCTTGCATTCTTAATATTGGATATAAAAAAACACACACATTCAATTTTTTTGTAGAAAATAAATCTTAATAGTTGCAATTGTAGGGGACACGACTCAGTAGTGTCATAAATGTGTGTCGTCTAACAACGTAGACCCAGAACGCAGTGAGGTAATTGTCAAAAATCCGAACCTTTGACGGGAAATAGATACAAAGGAGATATATAAGGACCGACTTATAATTCGAACGCTCAATAACCATTAGTTTATCTTATATTGAACATCTTACTTCTTCTCTCGCAAGTATTTAAAATAATTAGTATTTGGACAATTGTCCCTTATTGTACGTTACTGTAAATATATTAGCAAAACTTTCTGAAACACTAAAGCAATATATATGGCAACATTCTCAATGTAAAATTTAAACTATCATGTTTACTACGTGAAAGCTATGACAATGTAGCCACATTGAATTAACCAAATGCTTATATAAATATAATTTTCAATTTAAAGTAACTTATAGCGACTCTAAGAAAAGAAGACTATAATATAGCAAAGTGAATAATAGAAAAACTTGAAACTCGTCAGTTCAGATAGGATAAGATACAAAAGCTGGGACATAAATTTCCTAAAAGCTCAAGTTCAACATCTTTTACCTGGAACGAAATGCGACCGTCTCTGTCTTTATCGACTATATTAAACATTTTCTTCACGAAAACGGCGTCTGCACGCATTCCAAGCGCGCTGGCGAATTCGCTTTTAGAAAGTGACGTCCTCATAACAGTAACGACCTCACCGCTGTCGCTATCCTCGGATCGTCGCCGCCTTTCACCAGGCCGTAAACCGAACGTTAAAGCGTAAGCTTCCCTGAAGAACTATCGGAAAAAGGAAAAAGCGTTGCATAGTTAACGAGGCAGGAAGTCGTATATTGATACCTTAAGAAGCATAATAGAAATCGAAACTCGAGTTGAGAATACAAGGGAAATACCTGTTCGAGTTTCTTTTGACGTCGTTCCTTCGTTTCCGCTTTTGCAAGCATAATGTCCCTACTCACTTGGGACAGAGTGAAGTGCTTTTTATGGGATGCCAGAAATGCCTCCAGTTTCGCAATGAACTTTCTACGCGAGGCCAGCGAATCCAGTTCAAGGACAAGGTCGTAGTCCCGTGGTATCCGTAACAGAACCAACGCCTTACGATGACCATTCTCGTTTTCCTAAATATATGTATAATTGTATGTATAATGTCAATTCAAATATTGTTGTACACACAGGCACATTAAAAGAGTCCTAGCTACTGTATATCTATGTCTATTTAATAAATAACTAGAGAATTACGCACTGGACAATTTTTAACAAAAATAGTTTAAATAGACTGCAGATTTTTATACACGTATGTTGATATTTGAAGCCAGAGAAATGATGATCACAATGTACGAAGTATCCAAGATGTAGTATTTGTTATAATAATATGTAACAAATAAAACAAATCTTTTCATAGATTCTGACTTGTATTTTATTAACGGAAGTACAGTTTGCATGTTGCAGAAAAATGAACTAATAGAATCACAAGCTTTCGTAAAAGAAGAATCTTCAAAAATCGTTTGTAAATCTATAAATGTTTTTTGAATAATTCGAATGTTAAGCAATATTAAAAGAATATGCAACGTTATATTTAGCATTAGAGAAATATACAACATTGATAATTAGCATTAAAATATGTAACGTTCCTCTAATATTAACAATAAGCAATTTCATCCTATGAAGCAAGAAACATTTTTAAGCGCGCGAAAGCGTGGAAGCGAGTTTCGTATATCAGCCCGGTCCGTTGAATTCGATGAACCAATCGGAGAAGCCGATCCTTCTCCGTTTATAATGCTCTATACCACACGCTCGCATTAAGCAATCGCGCAGTTTCATCGCGAGATTTCTCGATCAAGATCCTCCTTCGAAATTTCCAAAGTAAAATGTAAAATTTTGCTGCAATCACCTGCGATTCTTCCATCGTGACCGTGTTCACGTCGTTGAAGTCGAACGTGCGCAGTTTCTCTCCCTTGCGATCGACGATGTGCAGAGCCTCTTCCGGCCCGAATTTCACCTTGACCAGACGGCGATGATTCGCGTGCAACCACTCGCGCACGATCATCTTGTCCACGCAGATTTTGCCATCATTCCTTTTTTGTATCGCTTCTTGGAGGATTTTCAATCGTCTTCTTCGTCGATTTTGCAGCTTGACCAAACCGTATCCGGCGCCGGCGCAAAGAATCGGCACAAAACCCAGAAAAACACACGCGTATATGTACACCAGCTCGCTTCCCTGCAATGGAGTTGATACACAGTAGGTTTCTGAGTTTGTACATATAGGGTAGCACGAGGGAAACGTGAAGTTCCAGGAACATAGTTTTGTATTGGGTAACATTGTATAATAGCCTGTCGATGGAAGAGATATGGCGAGGTGTTGAAATTGATCAAAACTGGTTGAAGTCTGGATTACAGTGATTTTACAAGTGTTTGAAGAGAAGTAGAAGCTAAAAATTTAATAATAATATATTGCAAATGACAATCACCTCGAAATAATCGTAACGTTGTAATGGAACACAAGGTTCTAACATTGTCGAGTTGAGTTGATAAGGCTGAGGGCAAGGATCTCCTTCTTTCCAAGTGAACACGTTCTTTTGAATAACGTCTGGTGGTATACCTGTCGCATTTACGATTATGTCCCACAGAGTTACGCGACGGATGTCTGCTATTTCGCTTTTTGTAAAAATTCTAGAAAACAGAGTATATAATATAAAATTTAATGCACAATTCTGCATTCAGTTTCTGTCAAGTCAATTCTACATTGAGTTTTAACATAAATCAATTCACTAATAGTTACTAATTTTTTTTCTTAATAAATCATAATGTAGAACAAAATTTTGTTATATCCAATGAACTTCATAAAGTTGCTAAATATTTCTAATTTCATTTTACTTTAGACACTATAATTCTAATACAATTTTCATCAATTTATCACATACCCATTCTCTTCATTTTCGAACCAAAATCTGTCAGAATCTCTTAAACGAAGGAATTGCTCGTTAATCACAGCTGAGAAGAGTTCTCCTGGCCCAGCGCTAGATTCCAGCATTCCACCAACGTAAACATCCATGTTGTTTAAATTATTCGAATGGATTTCGACTAACGTGCGCAGTAACGAGGGATTTTTGTTAAATAATTCCGGATTAATCTCGTTCCAAGTTTTCTTACGAGGTAGCTTGAAGTGTGCCCTAGCTGTATTATAATCTGGGAGACCATTATCTCTTCCTCGCATAATGTTCAAGGCTCCTAAGTCTCGTCTTGAGAATTCCATAGGCCCAAATAAATTGTTTCTAATGTCAGTTCCAAGCAAATTATCCTCTTTCTCAGCTATTTGCGACGTCATGCCCATGAGAAGTTCTTCGATTGTGCTGTTAGTTAAAATTTCCTAAAAAGAAGAAAATGTAATTAAAATAAATATGAAAAAATTTTATGTATAAGAATATAAATTTTTTTGAAATTAAAATATTAAAGATTGAAGTATTATAATTGACATGACATTTAGAATATTTTAGAATATTGGAAATTAATAGAAATTAAAATTTACTGGAAATTATTGGAAATTATTATATATCATAAAATTATATTCATAATTAAAGTAATCATCTAGTTTAATGTATCACTTACATTAGAATCCCACCATGTGGAACAAAGTCTGATCGCAGGCTGATCGGTATTAGTTCTTCTATACTCGCAGTTTTCATCTCGACGATACAATCCTGGTGGTATCAACGTGTGTCCATAACGAAAAGCTGCGCTCTGAAATATGTGACTGATTCCAGGATGTAAATCTGGTTTGTATCCTGTGTACGATGGCGGATTTTCATTCAAAAGTACCGGAAGATACTCGTACAAGATAATATTCTGTAATGTAAGAAAAAGGAACAAGCATGTATTATTTTAAGTTCAATTCTTAAAAAAATCAGACTTATTTATTAAATGGCTTACAATGTGTTTGAATTTTGTTCTATTCATAAAAAGTGTCAAATAATGGAGTAAATAAATAGTATAACAGAATATGTCTAAACGATGTGACAATTTTATAAAGGAACTAGTGAAATAGTATGAAATTATAATAGTATGTGTATCGGGTTACGGTAACGGTGTATAATTACACGGCTATGATATAGCATTACTTGTAATGACGATAGCGGGGTGACAATTTGTATAGAAAGGATGTATTACATCTATATTTTATTGTAATTAAGTTAAATGCTGTTAATTAATATGTATTATCCTATACTGATCATCTTTATCTATTTATATTTAATAACAATCTATAAAATTGTAAGAAAATTTCAAATAAGATTGCAGAAGATATAATTGATCTTTTGAAATGAATGATCATATGTTTGAATAAAATGAACAAAAATTTAGCCAACATATTTCAAGTCAATCAAAATTCAATTGTGTCTAAATTAAATTTAAATAAAAATTTTAAAAATAAACTTAGAATTAAAAAATGTTTCGATCCAACAGTTCACAATTTTCAAATTCATTCAACTAGATACATTTGCAGGTTGTGGATAATAAAAGGTCATGGGTACGCATAGTAATTGTTATGTTTATACAAATTCATATTTTAGTGAACCCAGCTAAACAAGAGAACCTAAACAATCATTTATTAGAAATTTATTAGATTATATCAGAATGAGTATTACAATCTGAACATTTTATTTTTATAACTTTGCATAGCAATGAACGAACCTGAAGCGTTGCTATAACAATACGCCTTGCTTTCTGAAAGATATCTTCGTCAGACATATTTGGATTCTCCAGTTGTATTCGCGCGGCAACCACATTGTGCCACCGATAAAACAATATTCCAAGAGCCAATAAGGGAGGATGCTGATTCGTTCGTGGATCGCCAAGGACTGAAAACGATTTTTCATAGTGAGAATCACGCACGAATGAAAAAAATATCGAACTCACGATAAAGACGTTCGGGACTGAGCATTCTCATAACGTGTGGAACAGCATGATTGAAAAGTGGAGCACGCATCGTGTTCCTCACAGGAAAATTCCTCGTAGGCTCCATCAATAGGCTGCCGTTTTTGAAAGATCTCATCGTGTTCGTCCATGCTTCGCTGCTCGAATAAATGAAGCTACCGTCGATCCAGCTCGTCACTTTGTTTATCTGCAACCTCACGTATTCAGAGCTACTTTTCGCGACTTATTTCCCAATATCTGAACGAAAGTCTTATGTTCAAACAAATATTACATTTAAAGATCATGTAAATACATTTTACAACATTATATTTAGAAAATTTTGTACTCCTTATGAAACTTTATATTCGGAATATTTCGCAAAGTTGTGCATTAAATAATTTTAATTAATTTTAGATAATTTTTGGAGCTTTATTGCACATTGGAAGATTTTGTTAAATCTTATAATTGAAAATATGTGTATATCAAATTTTGTATCTAAGAATTATTAAATTAAATAATTAAATGATTAAATAATTGAATTATTAAATGATATAAGTACTTTGGTAATCAATAAGTGACGCATTCTCAATTCTTAAAAAACAAGTAGCATTACTCATAGGAATAGCCTTGATACAGAAATGTAAAAAATAATTAAAATAAATGAGAGATTCTGCTGGTATAAAACGGTTTCGTGTCACACATGTGACACGTTTTCTCGTGAAAAATGTTCGATACGCTTTAACAGTTGACGCAATTATAAGATACGCCGGATGAAAGCGTAAGAAACAACATACGCAGTTCTTAATGATCATTACTTTCTCCATCATTATAAATAACTGGTTTACACTCGTCTCCTGTTGTTAGAAACGTTGCCTGGAGTTTTAAAGATATTTTTCCATCAATTTATATGAATCTATATAGATGACATCACTGTAGTTGAAAGGGAATGAATGAATTCCAATTACATAAACTATTTATTATCCGACAAGTTTACGTACACAATAATAATTGGACATGGATACGACATATATTAGAAAAATGATTCAATTCTAACAAATAAACTGATCGAGATCCTTCCCTTTCTGTTCCAAATATTTGAAATTTTACACATCTTATTAAATCAACTATCAGAGAGAGCGAGAAATTACCTGTTCACGAGGGCTATTAGGGCTGCGCCCGGTTTGCCGATCATAATCCGCTCGACGGAAGGGAATGTACTTGTTACCTTGGCACTCCTTGTCGAAAACCGGATCGCATTTGTCCACGTCGATTCGGTGATACTCTATTGGGCAGCCACTTTCGCTGGCCATGATTATCTCCGACGTGACCAGCTGCCCTGAAATCGTTCCGTACGCAGCATTAATGAAGATCATTCGAGGTTCCACTTCTCAAGGAAGTGAATTGCAACGCGCGACCGGTTCTCGAATGATCGCTTCCGTCGACGAAGGTTTCGCCACGTACGCTAATCGACACGGATGGAATTCAGGAGACTGACACAGTTTTTACTTTTCACCTCTTTTTCGAGAATCGACCGCGCTTTCCTTCGTCCCAGTTCCGACCGGCGTTTAACGCACGGTTTTCGGAACTGAATCGAGGACGTGAGGTCGAGCACGTTTCCCTCGAATTATCTGGAGGACCAGTTCTTTCGGATTTTGTGTTTTTTAATACCATTTGATTAAAATCTTGAGTTTTCCTAATTTAGTTTAAGTTCAGAATTTTGATTCCTTTTTTTTCTTAATTTAGTCCAGTTTTTTGAATTCCTTGAAACTTTTCTCAATTCGAGTTATTTCAAAAGATCATCGCAACAACCAATTTAATAAAATCACTATTCTTATTGACAGACTGCGAATATGTTTATACATATTTGCATTTTAAATAATTATAATATCATTAACAGAGTAAAAAGTAGTAAACTGAGTAATTTTGTTAATTTTAGAAAAATATGAATTTATATAAATCATCAACATATCAATTGTTATTAGATTTCTCTTTTCATCACTCAGCAATTCCTGAAACTGCATTAATTATCAATTGATATTCCTCTATTTTGAATAACTCTGGAATTATTTGGGACAAAGTGAACCATTCGCTATACATTATACGGAACATTTTACGTGAAAAGTGGATCAAAAAGTTCCTTGCACCCGGTTCTATTCCGACACCCGGACACCTTACGCTGTTTGCGCAACAACGTGATACAGGTATTCGAATGCGTACACTGTCAGCGACAATAATTCCCTTGCTTCTACATACTGTTCCATCTACTTTACCAAATTCATTCAAGATATTTTTTAGACTGGATTCTGAGTGAATTATCATTACATGTCGACATTCTTGTCTACTTGTCATGAAATCATGAATTTCTTTGATTAAAGAAAAATGAAATAGAATTTGGACATTGAATGAGTATCTTTTCTGTGGAAAAGATTGTCTATTATAATTTAGTTTTCTTATTACATCACAATAGTGAAGTAACACTTACTATTAATGATGCCATACTAAAATGATGAAATGTATTGATGTAGTTGATTTTTACCGAAAAAGGCGAATAATGCTGTCCTATTCTTGACCGATGGCAGACCATCGTCACCTTGCATGAAAAGCTGACTGAGCTTCCTTGGAGATGGTCTGTCCTGGCCAGCTAGCATGTAAACCCCATCAGAATATGCTGCTGGCATCTTTCGTATCAGCCTGCTGTCTATGAATGTACAAACCGTGTCAACATCATCATTTCTAATAGAATAAACAATAAAGTAAAGTACTCCAAAAACTGAGAAATTCGAACAGAAAAAGGATTTAACTCTCAATTAATATCATTATTACTTCCAGTACAATATCATAATGTATGTTTCCTTTGTTCTCTCTATGTTAAATTAGGTAAATAACTTAAACTGCTGTAATTTACTTACAATTCAACCAGTTAAAAATTAAATAAGCATATATATTGTACATTATATCAATATTCTATATTGTATATTATTACTACATTACGTATATTATATAAATTGTATACTTTAATCTTGTAAAAGAACCGAACATTGAAATCGTATCAAGAATTGATTACTCTTGCCTTGTTCTATTAGTACAAACAATGAACCCAGATGAAATGTTTGACTAGACTATTAGCATTCTGTCAGAAAGTAGATGGTTAACACGTCGAAAAGAAAACTGAGAGATATGGTGTCATTTACACAAACAAAAATTAGCATGAAACGTAATAAATATTTAAAGCACAAAAAGAAAGATAGGTTTTATAAAAAGAAAATAAGCCTCGCCGACAGAATTAAATTGTCTATTAAAAGATTTAATTATTTCCCTGTCTAGAGAGATAGAAAAAAGAGGATCTCGCGTGATTTTAATTTTTTTTCGTCGAGATTCATTTCATTTTTGAATTATAGTTGGTATTGTTCATTCACGTCAAACAGAATAGGTGTTAGTATAATAATCGAGAGGCAACGACTTTCATGTTTAAAGAACCATGAAATTTCTGTCGGCAGATCTGGTAAAGCTTTTGCTGGCTATATTGAAATAAAATAGCGACTTTTTTCGCCTTTCACTCTACGCGCCATTGGCTTTGCACGGCAATTGCTATCCGAGTCGCATCACAATGTCAATAAAAATATTTACAACGGGAATTAATTCTCTTTTTACTTCTGTCTGAATTATGGCAATTACCATTGTAATAAAACCTTCGGAATTCCTAGACAAATGTCTTCGTGCTTTCAGTATTTCAGCGTTACTTCTTTCATAATTAATACCCTTGAATGTATTAAAAATCTATGAATATGAATGTCAATATTCCTCCAGTTTCCTGATTGTTAAATAAATCTTAAAACATCATTCCTTGATTTACACTTAATTTACTATTCAAACAAAACAACTTGGTCTCTTCCTATTTTTTTTCCAATTTCTTCCGAAATTTTGCGATATATTATTTAACCGTAATGAAACAACGATCATGAAAAAAGTACTGTCCAAATTCTGACTCTTCCACTTTCCTCAAATTTTATCAATATTCATTGTTCTTCCAATATTCCTCTAAAAGTTAATTCGACTGTATCATACTAGAAGTAAAATTCGTATAAAGTGAAAAGGGGTAGGTTTAAAAAGAGTGATATGTTCACCGACGTACAGTGGTAAAAATTCTAATTCTAACTGAACAAAAATAAAGATTCTCGATTATTCCAAAATTAATTTAATGGAAAAATACCTATACTCCGTATAGTATTGTATGTTTAATGATAACTTAAAACAAAGATATTATAATTTAGTCATTTTTGCATTCTTTATTTTTTATAAAAAAATATAAATATACGAATTTGAGAAAAGATTCCAACTCTTCATAATAAAATAATATATATTCCAACAATGAAATCCTGATTGCCAAATATCGAAAAGTTATAAGTCATTAAATGATAATTCGGTCTATTTAAAATGAAAAGTTATACCACTGTGCAATGATAAAGCAATGGTATTTAAACTACTTGCCGATCGATCCCCAATCAGGATGTGCCAGGTTGTTGTACCATCCATCGTACCTCTGTTTATCCGCATAGTTGTACGCCACTCCTGCAATAAACAACGAGAAAACGTTGGATCATAAAGATCATAATATGGCAAGAAAGTGTCAATTTCCATCGAGAAATGCCAATCACTTTCGACGGAAGTAGAATTTTCTAAAGTCGAAAACGAATGTCACCGAAAGATTCAAGTATACGCATTTACAAACTGGAATCTTTAATCAGACACGTTACATTGAATTACGTAAATTTAAAAAAGAGAAACAATATAGAATGGATTATATGTTGTGAATCTACGGATTGTTTCTTAGACGTATGAATCTCTTGAGAAAAATTCGAAAACAATTCCAATAAATTATGTTTCGATCATTCTTGGAATCTTTCGCGAAGCAATCGTTCAGTTCGTTTCTTGAAATTACCAGCTTGTTAAAAAAGACTCTTTTTCGCGATTGTTCGATTGATTTCTTAAACTGATAAATCTAAAGATTCTAAGTCTGTTTCTACTATTTTCGGAATCGTTTCTGGAATAATTCGAAGAAGCGAAGTATAATGAGTGAAATGATAGTTATTCGGACAGACAACTGTGCATGTAAATTACACGTACGAATCATAGATAAAATCATTGATCCGATATTAAAACAGACTCGGTCTAATTTATGATCGATCAAGTTGTACGTTTATCAATAATTAAATATAACTAACTTATTTTACGAAGGGAATGAGACATTTAAATTGTAAACGGAGACCTTAGGAGAGAAAAAAAGAGTAGTATTAAAGGAATGACACAATGAAGAATATGAATTGGATCTAATTTAGTTGAAAGTACTCAAATTGAAATTTTTCACCATTAAATATTAAAAAATCACAGGAAAAATACTTGTTCGCAAAATTATTTACGTTTCGCTCTCTCTAAAAATCATTATGCTCCTTCTACAGTATTCATTCATGTGACTTAATCCAGAGTCATAAATTCATTTGTAAATGTTCCATCTTTAGTTATCAAAGTTATCATAATCACTCATAATCAAATAAGATTAATATAAATATATAATTAATGCCAAGTTACTAAAGTACTTTCAAGTTGTATTTTACGTTTCCTTTGATAGAGAGATTCTAATGATATTATACTAAATTAAAAGCTTGAATATTAAGTGATTTTGAACTAAATTGCTGTGATCTCCAACGATTCTCAGATACCAGTTGAGAAATTAATTTCAAATCATCACCATTTGTTTCTTATGTGCTGTCGAATAAGTCAAATCAACGTCGAGAGTTAATCTCAGCTATAGTTGGCTGTCAATTCGACAAACCTATTCCTGATATCAAAATCAAGGGACGCTTCGCTAGCTCTCTCAACTATAAAATAACAATTATAAGAAACCTTCTTAATTGGAAAATGTTCCATATTTTCACTTTCGGTATACTTTCGTCGCTGCAAGTTCGCTTAAGCGGGTAACGGAATCGATCGCGTGCAACGATCTAGCATCATAAAGATTAAAAATCGTACCGGTCACGATAGGCAGGACGATGGAAATCAGCCAGGCTACCAAGTAGATCCATGTCGAATCTGGTGGTCTTCGTCGTGTCATCCTCAACATATCCACAACACGCATCCGTACATTTCTTTAATCAATCACCACTTGGTTCTCTTTTGCCGTCACTGAATTATCACCATTCGATGCTTGCTGTTTAGAGTTGACGATCACGGCGATGCATGTCTATTCAAATAGGGACAGTTCATGAAGGCGTGCAAGATGACACACTCTGGTCCGCGACGATTACGGACACGAATCGAATTAATCAATTTTCCCGAGGAGAAAGAAAAAGAGGGAGAAAACTGGAGAGATCGACGAAAACACACTTTTTCATGCGGTGGACAGTGTGATCGTAGAGGCCACAGCAAAGAATAGAGACACGTGCAAGACACGGGCGAAAGAAAAAGAATCGAGGTCCGTTCGCTTGGCTCTCAGGGTATGCCTCGTGTCTGATGGCTTCGAAGTAGAATTTCCCCCACCCGCGAGGACGTTGGTGAGCGAGAGTACACCTCATACTCGAGTGGTTTGGGCCAAGAGCGCTCAGCCTGTACTCGCTGTGTGGTGTTCAAGCCGTTCTTGGATACACGGTGAAAGTCGCCGGCCTATTTGTTTCGTTACCGCGAACGCGCCACACTGTCTTTCTTTCTCCCTCCCATTCACTGCATTAAGCACGTTTTTCTTTCCCTCTTACTCTCGCTCTATCGCTCTCTCTCGCTCTCTCTCGCGCTCTCTCTCTCTCACTCACTCTCTCTCTCTCTCTCTCTCTCTCACACACACTCTCGCTATCGCTCTATCTCTTCCGTTCGCAAGCGTTTTCTTCGTCTTCGCGATTGCTCTCCCTCTCCGTTTCGCCGCTCGTACTTCTTCGTCTTCTTCGCCCTCTGCGTCTCCGCAACTCTCGTGCAGGTTCGTTTACTGCATATAACCGTCGCGGCATATACCAACTGGCGACGTCACTGCAGGCGCAGGCCTAGTTTTCGCGGCACCAATTATCCAAGGCGAAACCTCTCTCGGTTCTCCGACCTGAGGTTTCAAGGTCGATGACGGGACGTCTCTGGCAGACAGAACATCCTGGCAGCCGGTGACGCCAACGTTTAGCCGGAATTCGTGCGCGTTCCGCGTTCTGTTCCTCCGATTCCGGACGCTGAAATCGAGAACGAACGAAGGGCATCACGTGTAACCTTGACACGAGGATACTCGTAAGTGGTTCGAAGAATATGGCATTTCTATGAATAGTATAAATGCATAAGTTGGTAGTATATTGAAATATATGTACCTGATATTTATATAAACCACAGTGTTCTATAATTCGTCCAGTACTAAATTTAAAGTATGTATGATCCACTTCTATGATGCCGATACGTTAGCATCTAAAGTACTTAACAGATGAAAATATTTTCAAATATTTTATGGTGATTTGAAATATGGAAATTCTTTGGAATTTCATTTCTTGTAAGTGTTTTAGAAATCTTGAATCATTTATGCTAAGTCAGTAGGGTGAAGAATAATCCATATATATGCTATCTATTATATATTCCTTTAGAAGTCATCTAGTTTCTTTGAGGAAAAAAAAAATGATGGAAGTCAGATATACAGCCGTTTCTTCTTCAAAAACTGAAAATAAAGTTCATACTATAATTAATTCTTTTTCATACATCATTTAAAGTTAAAATTCTATCAGTGTTTTCTTCTATAGCAAAGTATACGAGATATACCTAACTAAAGACTCTCAATAAATATCATTTTATTACTCGTATTTCAATTTCCTTAGAAATAGCATCTTCCATGAGAATCTTCCATAAATCATGTAATCAAATCACTTCTACGATACTTTTGAAATGAATCGTCAGCAACATTCTTAGAACATTCAGAGAATCAAACGTTAAGTCAAACATGTTCTCGTTTCGTATTTCTTAGCATCATACCAAACGTAATATAACAGGTGTTTCATTTTGCCAATGAAAGAATAGTCGCAATAATAATACAAGTCACGATAATATTACAAGTTCTTTGTTCGCTTATGGGAATAGTTGCACAGGTGTGTCTCTTTTCTTTATTCTATACCACCTAAAGTAAAAGACAGATCAGAAAAGGAAAGAAGATTGAGCAACGTAATCTTTTGACATTAAAGTTGCTTCAAGAGTTTGTAACTTCTGCGATACTCAACTTTGAGCAATAGAGCATATATTATATTTTGAAATTTTTTAGTAATAAATCTAATAAGTAGAATTACGAAAAGAATAAAGAATAAAAATCTTGGAGTAGTTTTAACTCTAATAGAAAAACAATTGAACTTCTCCAAGAAGAAGTGCACTGTAGTGCGTCAACTGGCGCAAAGATTTCCTCCGGCAGCCGGGCGATTTTTATCGCCCTTGGCACCAATTAGCAAAGGCGATTGCATTTCGAGAGGGAGATCAAACGAACATGTTCCTTATTGAGAGTATATATGTCACACTAAGCATCGTTCCTCTCTCTGCTTAGCCGCTCCATTCCAGAAAATTTCTTCATTTTTTGATGATGAATCACCGCAGACCGTTTGCCAATAGACTTTAAATTATACGCATTCGCGCAGAGAAATGCTTGTCTTCGTGTATACCGTTTGATATACTCTTTGTTCTGTGGGATACCTGAAATTAAAATGCGTCACTATGGTACAAACAACGATGAAGAACGATCAAAAATGGAAAGAAGTAAAGGAAAGAGGGTTAAAAGAAAAACAAAAGAAATTCTTGCACCTTGTATTTTATTTGAAATCATGTGTATAGAAAGGAAAATGATTTTAATTTCGCACTCTAATGCACCCAGAGCACACCGTTAGGTACAACACATTTAACATTTCTTGTTTTCTTTTTGTCCATCATTGACTTCACACGTTCAAGAGAAAAAGGAAACCATTCAATATCATGACAAACATTCAAATCCTTCCACGTACGAGTAGTTATTTTATAAATTGTATCTGCTTTGTACAAAAAGTCATGTTGTCATTCATCCTGTCATTCATCCTTTTATTCGATTCGTTCCTTCTCATTCTTTCTTAAGATATTTCGCATGTAGGATTTCGTGTACACGGAAAAGAGTCGAGAAAAGTTCGAAGTAGAATATGTCGAAGTTCATAACCATAATACATACATCATTCTCGATGACATATTTTCTGCAAATATCTATTCGTTATTTCGTTATTTCGTTATGTACATAGGCACCTCTCATTCTCAAGAGCCTTGTTCAACTAGAATACGAAGTCGGATACCAACTTCGCGGATCTCGCGATTTTCGCGCGAAACTCAGCCGATTTCGACTGGCCTCTACGCTTTTAATGCTTTGCGCTGATAATTAATCAACAGTATCCGAGTTA